TCTGCTTCCATCGTATTCCACCAAAACGCAGACATGAATGGAGTGTAACAAGTGCATGATGGCTTCGATGTCCTTTTACCAGATTTGATATCCTACGTGCTGCTGTGGACTTCAGTCGAGACACAACAAGGCAAAGAGTATGAGACAAGTCAGTCTGTACGGAAAACCCCTGCTTTGCCAAAATGGTACGTACTCTTTCTACAGCGTGTTGTTGACGTCGAACTGTGTAAAAGCAGTGCCAGATGAAGGCGTCATCGTTTACGAAGAACGTGTGCTGCTCGCTCCATCATGACGGCATTGCAGATCGTTGCGTCGCCAGTCGCGTTGCTGGTCATTCGTGAGTAAGGACGACATGTAGGTCCGTACGAATTCGTGCACCAGTAAAAACCAGAGCCATGTAAACTCGTTTCGCAACTCTTTGACTTCGGGTCCTCCATGATCGCGACACTCTTTCGAGCACCAACGTGCGTGCATGGGTTCTTTGTGCGACTTACGTTCGCAGCGCGCATATGCTGTGACATTGAGCCAGCGGACTGGAAGAATGTTCACAACGATCAGATGAAGTTGTTGCCACGTGTCGCTACGACGGTGCTGCACTGCAGCATATGAACACATTGGGGAGCCCGGTAGAGTTTGGTGACCTTCGATGTTGCGAGCTCTTACGTAGCAGCCTGTCGCAGCACCGAACGTAGGATCGAGTGATTGTGTCGATCCTGATCCCGATGCAAACATTTGTCCGTAGCGCGACTAAGGAACACACTGACGGACGTACATAGCAAATTTGACGAGATGTGAGTGGGCGTTCGCAGCTAGCGCACATCGCTTCCAGACTATGACTGTACTTGATCGACGTCAACGTGCGCGTGGCAGAGCTACACCTTTTCGCACAGTCATTTCTTCTCAATGCTGCCAAGCTCGAATGCCTTTGTTGTATGTGCTTAGCATAAGATGAACCCTCGGGGCCAAGTGGGGGTCATGTCCACATTGTTTCCACATGTGAGTTGATCTAACGGAGAGATGGACGGTTGGTCGTGCGTGGACAGATCTCAACGAGCGATAGATAACTAGCTATACATAGGATGCGCCTTAACAGTTTGACGGAAAGCGAAGAATGACAGGTACAATGCGAGAGCAGTAGCATGAGATCGACGATGTCGTCGTGCGTTCCCCTCGCAAGGAGGGAGTCATAAATTCAGTGAAGCCGCATGTTTGTGAGTCAATTCCACGGTAATCTTTAGTAAAAGGCGAAAGATTAATACGTTTTGAAATTAACTCTGCGAGATGCTCCTCACTACCAAATTGACACACGCTTATACCACAGTATCACCTGCACGTGCCTCAAGCAATTTACTACCGCGCACCCAGATGCCGATCGCAAATGTGATCCCTAAGTGCCAACTCACTGCCTTGCTCTGCGGGAACGCGTAAGGCTTTTCAGGTACGACAGCAAGCGTCGATAGCTACATACATCCAATATCTACTTACGTCCAACAGATACCAAGTCCACCACGCGAATACGGGTGAACTAGTACCAACCACTATGAAAATGGATCACGTGCTGCTGTTATTCGAGCATCCAAAAGTCAACCACGCGGTGGACTCGGACAACGTCTACGATCTGGTGCGGAATGGCCCGACTTCTCTCATGTACGCTTGCAAGCTCTCTGCTTTCACCTCACACGATTGTGTCCAACTCGCATCCATTGCTCCAACATGACCAGCAAGAATGTATCCATGCAGCCACCACGTTGCAATGGCCGGAACAAAGCGATGATCTGTGCACATGCAGCACAAGAACATCGTGGAGAGCTAGAAAAGCCCACTCGAGTTCGTCACGTGCAGAGTTCCGAGACTGACCGAAGTGATGATGACTGCTGTCGAGTAGGCTCTAGCAGACATCAAACTGACCCAGAAGGCGCCGCCGCTCATGATCTCGCCATACCGAACGACACAGACGTGAAGCTGCTTAGTCGATCGAAAGATTCTCTTGGATGTACGTGCCGTGCAGTGGTTGGTAGTCTGCCTCAGCTCGATTGACGCAACTGACGGTAAAGTGCTCGTGTTACACGATACGGGTTTCTCTGACCGCGTCTGCACGGAACATCTTCCACTACGAGTCGAACAAACAGGCGCTATTCCCCATGATGACATTGTCTCCGGCTCGTGACTATTCACCTTCCGATGGCACCGTCCGACAAGAGCACTGCCACGACTTGACTTCGTTCGACGCGTCGAATCTCGACATCAAGAATGCTACGTACTTTTACCCCTATGCTACGGAACCGCAGCTCAACAATGTGTCGGGGTCATGTTATGTTTGGTCCCTCTGTTGCAACAATTGGCGTCAACAAGGATGACCCGTCGGCTCTGATCAAGATACTTGTGCATGAAGTGTCGCCCAGCAGCGGCGTTTCGAGAAAGATGGCGCTGTGTACGAGGCAGATGAAGCCCAGCACTCGTCTCATCACGTGGAACAGCAACTTTTCGGCAGCCCAGTAGGATGTACCTTCAGTGGCGAGAATGGCGCGAATCGTAGACTTTGGCGATCACACCGACTTGACGCAGTCGCATGAAAAGACGAACGGACATATATGGCAAGACGAAGAAGATGAGGAAGATGAGGAAGAAGAAGCAGCTCAAACGGAGACGACTGTGTTGGATCTGCGATAGACGTGGGTCAGAGGGGGCAACAAGTATACCTTTTGGACCCCGTCGAGTCTCTGTGAACAACTACAACGACACTACCACTGAAGAATGTCGAATCCGTCGCATGCGCAGGTCTATCTGCTGCCGTTCAACTGCATTGAATGGCGACTGTCGTGTACAACGAGCATTGATCTGGAGAATAAGATAAGATGGTCTCCACTGCGGCGTCTTATGCTAACAGCAATCTATGGCGCTCGTTCCGATGTCGAGCAAGTGGACAGGAAGGGAATCGACAACGTCAGAGCAATCTGGTCACTCTAAAATTACAGCAAAAGTACCGGTAATCTGAGTCCTTCGATTTCGAAAGCTCGCGCTGTTGGTTACAGTCTATATTTAGACACGGCTAGTGTTTAGAAAGAAGAAGAAGAAGACGAAACGAAAAATGGCCCGTCGACGCGCACGCCATTCGGTCCGCCCTATACGAAGCCATGACCGTCCAATCTCAGCTTCGCCGTCCGTGAAGAAGATCCCATGGCATCACCTCGTCGCCGTCTTCTTCTTCTCTTGTCTTCGCTTCTCTCTATAGGGACCCAACGGACATTCTCAATGCGTCGTAAGATATGACTTGTAGTGAGCTCGTCGTCACTTTGGCGATCGAACGACCGCACCATCTTGCAATTCGCCTCGTAATGTGCCGCGGCTCGACCATAGTCGTGGCCACGCGAAGAGCAAGTGCACCGATCGCTTGCTCGGCGCTGCAAAAAGGCCAGCGAAGGCGGGCACACACACACATCCCACCATTGTCGAGACAGACGGCGTCTGTGGCCGGTACGGTTTTTGCGTGGAAAAAAGAGGGCAAAACGTCCACGAGCCGTTGCTGCGGTCGCCGCCGCGATACGTACGGACGATATGCGCGATACAGAACGGTGAAGAAAAGATTGCGAACATGCGATCGGTTTTTTTACAGGGCCGTTGTGCCGCGGCTGACAGAGCGCCCTTCGTTGAAGTGCGGCGAGACGTGATGACGTGCGACGCGGGATCCATATGGTATGGCAGTGCAGGATACCGACGCCATCTCGTGCGCGGGTTCCTGACGCGTTCGTGCCTCGCTGGTGGGGTCACATTGCCCGGTCTAAACAGGTTGTCGTGTTGCAACAGTAGTGCCCTAGGACACCAATTACTCGTGAAGTGGGTAGTGCAAATGAGCCGCTGGTTGCAGCGCAGTAATTCCTCCACTGCGCTGTAACCAAAGGCTCATTTGCAACTGACCAGCACTCGGTCATGGATACACACTGGACAGCGAAACGTCAGTCTCGAGCAACTGAGCTCAGAACGCGTCATGGCGTACAGTCGCCGCCCGCCCGTCTTTACGTGCACGTCTCTGAGGAGGCCATGTGCATGCGGAACCCATCGGTTCGAAATCCTCGTCGGGACGATGTCCACATGGTGGACGTGATGGATACACATCCTCTCGACGTCCCACGTCGGGTCAAGCCTATGAGGCTGCCGTTTGTCGGACTCAAGCAGGAACGTACGTGTAATGTATGTGCAGAAGTGTGTGCGACTATGTTAGCGATGTATGGCATAGAAGTTTGATAACGCCTCGAGTATACTTCCTGCGAGCTAGAATTTCCCGGACGAGCTTAGCCGCTACGCTGCAGGTCGCTTCTCCCGACTTCTTTAAAACTGTTGCCGCCGGCGGCGGGTCAAGAACGCGCTGCAGTGCTGAACCAATCGCGCGTTTTGTCTGTCGTCCGGGCGTGCGCTGGAAAAAGAGCCCTTCTACAGGCTCTCATTCGCACAAGAAAGAAAGAACGACGACGACGGCGCTCTCTACTACACTTACGCACAGAATGGTCGATCGAGCAGTGTGACCAAAACTGGGACTCTGATATCCCAACGCAAAACGACTTTTTTTTTTGCTGTTGGAACGACTATCTGTTTTCCACGAAAAGACGCCACCGATGGACCAATCACCAGCGTCCTGCGCATGCAGTTCAGCAGCTACAGGTCGCCACATCATTCGCCTGGGGCTCGGACAGCAGCTCCTGGCCGCGGTCCGTCCATCACGCCCCTCCCTCCCTCCCTCCCAGCGCGAGCGCTCGAGAGCTCTTCATTTTTCAATCAGCTTCTCGCCCGCAACAGCTCCGATATTCGTTTATCAGCACCTCGTTGACCCGTTCTCCATTGGTAGTAGTCAAGCGATTCAGCTGCATCATGTTGACCCCATCCAATAGCACCACCACAACAACAACAACAACAACGACAACAACACTACCACGAACAACAATACCAATACCAATACCAATCCCAGTAACAACAGTAGCAGCAGCAACACCTCGTGCCTTCCTGCAATGGTACAGCTGGAAAAAGCTGCGAAAAAGCTCACGCTCTACTCCCGGGCAATCCGCGAGCAGCTCGCGCGAGCAAAGGAAGAAGTGGGCATCGAGCAACAGGCTGTGCTGACGTCCGAGGACGACGTGAGCGAGTCGTCGGCGCGACTGCAGGAGATTGAAGAGCTCATGAACAAGCTGCAGCGCGACATTGGCGCCTTGCGCACGACAGCAATAGCGCAAGAAGACGACAATGGGAGTCTCGCGGCCCGTGAGCAAGAGCTCGAGGAGCTCAGGGAAGAGCGGTACGAGGAGCTCGAGCTGCTCACGCACATTCAAAAGATGCTGCACCGGCATCAGAGTAGACACCGGGACATGCAGCGAATGATTGCGTCGCTCACGAAAGAGAGCCGTCGCGTGCGTCAGCGGGAAGAAGCCATTGTGCTAGTGGCATTGCGGAGCCGCATTGTCAAGGTCTTTGGGGCGAAGCTCTAGGGCCGCGCTCGTCACTTGTTGCTGCTTTTCGAAGCAGCGCAGGACGACGGATGAACTGGGGGATGGCGAGGCGGAGGCGGACGATTGGCGCTACGGACGTATTTTCACGCACCGCTACCCGTTCGATCGACTCGCAGCAGGGCCAAACAGCACGGGGTGCAGCTACGACGAGGACCGGTACTCTGTCCCATCATCGCCGCTACCCCACCACTCGTTTCTCGGTCGCAACTGCTCGCGTCGTTATGTTTCAAGAGAACACTTATTTATCGAACCTTCTTTTTTCCCTTGACCCGGCAGCAGCGGTCTTCCGTTCTTGTTCTGATTTAAAGTATACGCACGAGAGTTTCCATACGGTTTCGCCGATCTCTCTTCTCATCTGACCCGCGGCCTCTTTTAGAACGTGGTTTCTAAATCACACACGCACACACCCACATATCGGCTGTCGTTTAGAAGCCGCCCACCTTCATCTGACCATGACAACAAGCCACGAGCCCTTTGTGGTCGACGAACAAGTCGAATGTGATGTACTGCGCGAGGCACTGCAGTCCGTGCGCGATCACGGATCGCTCTTGCAACGAGCTCTGGAGGCTCGGGATCAATCTGATGGGCTCCGACACGCAACGCAGTTGCTGCGCGAACTGCGCACGAGTCTTCTGTCACCCAAACACTACTACCAGCTCTGTAAGAAAAGTCTACGCATGTGTTACAAGTACTATTATTGTTGTAATTGTTGTTGTTGATATTGCTATTATAGTTGTTGATGATGTTGTCATTGTTATATTTGTTGTTGCTTTTGTTGTTATTGCTATTGATTGTTTCATCGATGACCTCTCACGTGTTCTACTTGTTACTGTCTTGTTGCATGGGTTGATCCTTTTCTACCTGCAGACATGCAAGTGGTCGAGCAGCTGCGGTACTTTGGAAGCTACGTCGAAGAACAGCAGCGAGCTGGTGCCTCCATGCGCGATCTCTACGAGCGCGTCCAGAGCTGTAGCCACGTGCTGCCGAGACTGTACGGGTCAAAGTATCGTATACGTGGTCTGTGAGCTAAAACGCTATGGTCCGTTTTTCGTGGTGTTTCCTGATGTGGCAGCTACTTGCTCGTGACGGTTGGGGCTGTTTCCATCAAGTCTCGGGTGACACCAGCGCGTGATGTGCTGACAGATTTAGTGGAGATGACCAAAGGGGTGCAGCATCCGCTGCGAGGGCTCTTCCTGAGGCACTACCTGTCGCTCAGCGTACGTGACAAGCTACCGGACACGGGCTCTGTGTACGAGCAAACGGGTGGTGGCACCGTCAGCGATGCCATCCAGTTCTTGCTGCAGAACCTGCGGGAAACGAACCAGCTCTGGATTCGTCTGCAGCATCTCAATGCTAGGGGTTCTCTACCAAAAGCTGCTCGAGAGAAGGAGCGGATGGAGCTGCGCTTGTTGGTCGGAACAAGCCTTGTGCAGCTCAGTCAGCTGGATGGTGTCACATGCAGCGTCTACACTGAGCAGGTACTCCCTGGCCTCCTGGATGATGTTGTGTTTGCATGCAACGACTCTGTTGCGCAGCAATACTTGATGGACTGCATCATTCAGGCGTTTCCAGCCGAGTTTCACTTGCACAATCTTGAGAAGTTGTTGAGTGCACTGGAGAAACTGCAGTCAACTGTCAACGTGGCATTGATCTTGACGGCACTTGTTGAGCGTGTTACACCATTCCGAGAAGCACGGGGAAGTGGTGTGGATGTGGGAAAGCAAGAGGCAGGAGCGGACGAGTGCAGCAAGATAGTAGGTGATCGGTATGCTGGCTTCCAGGTTTTCCTGCAGATGATGGCCACGATTGTCAAGGTGTTGCGACGCTCATCGAGATGTGATAAAGGGAATGAAGCTGCTCATAGCGAAGAAAGCGATGGGGACGTGAGCGTGCACCTGACCTCCGTGCTGGCCTTTTTCGTGGCGCTGGTTGATTTTGCTCTCGTCTGGCTTGGCGGCGTTCAGAGTGAAAGCTCAGGTTTGACGACTGCTCTTGAGCAGATACTCTCCGAATGTTTGACGTTTCTACGTGAGCAGAAAACGTGGCGCGACGACACGCAAAGACGCCAGGTCGTGCTTGCACCGCTCAAGTCTCTCGCGCTGACGCTCCTCCGGGTGCTTTCTGTTCATGGTCTCTTGCGAGTCCCGTCACTGGCTGAAGTGTTGGAACTGATGCCGTGGGATGGTGCGCGAAAAGACGTGGCTCTAATATGGCTTCGTGTGCTTTTCGCTCGGCAAGAGTGCGTCCTTGATGGGAAGCAAATGAAACTAGTGCTGACGGTGCTGGCACCGCTGGTGCATGACGACCCCAGCGATCCGCGGTCACTACCTTTGGCCATATCAACATCATCAACAACAATAACAACAACAACAGCGAGGACGGACAAGGACGCTGAGATGTTTGACCTGGAGCAGCAGACACTGGCCAAGGTAGTCCACCTCGTCGACAACGATGACCTTGACGTCAAGTTTCGTGTATTATCGATGGCACGACGTGCGTTTATGCTGGGCGGTGTTTTTCGGATCCGTCATACGATTGTGCCGCTGGTCTACCGGTCACTGGCACTCGCTCGAGACCTAGCTGCTCACTGGCGACAAAGGACGCAAACACAAGAGCTACTAGTGGATGCTGGATCAGAGGCTGCTGCATCGGAAAAGGACATGCAGAACTTTGTTACAAGACCTTGGGAAGTGCTCCAGTTTGTGCATGAGATGGTGACAGCATTGGTGCCACAACAGGACACGATGCCGGTTTCCTGCGTTCACTTGTATCTGCAGTGTGCACTCGTTGCAGATGATTGTGCCTTTGAGGCCGTTGCATGCGAGTTTGTAACGCAGGCGATTATCGTCTACGAAGACCACATCACGCTTGCCCGCGAACAGTTATGCGCTCTCGAGTTGATCGTGGCTTCGCTGCGTGCAACCGCCAATCTCTCGAGTGTCAGCTACGAGGCTCTCGCTACCAAGGCCACGCACTACTGTGCCCGCTTGCAGCGAAAAAACGAGCAGGCTTTAATGGTGCTGAATTGTGCACACCTCTTTTGGGTGCGTTTGGCATCGACGCAGTGAGTTTCTACGCTATGGTCTGCCGCATGATGATCTCACATACCCCGTTGTTCTTCCTTGTTGCTGCTGTGTAGCACCCGTGTCAGAAAGATGGCAAGCGCGTTCGAGAATGCCTTCAGCAGTCACTACGCATAGCCATGTCGATGAACGATGCGAGATCAAAGCAGGTGCCTCTTCTTCTGGACATTCTAGAGACTGTACGTTGGTCGGCTGTTTGTCATGTCCCCTGTTCCAGTATTTGCACTGACGATTGTTGCCTGTGTTCCTGCCATCGAGCAGTATCTGAGCTTTTTCGAGGCGCAAACGCCTGAGGTGACTCGCAACTACATTGTGGATCTATCGGCTCTCGTCAAGGACCATCTGGACAACATGGAGCATGGACTGATACGCAGGGAAGGAGAGCTTCGGTATCGCGCCATTGTGCGCTACATGGAAGCCATAGACACATGCAATGATACCCTGCCGTCCTCCTCGTCCTCCTCATGACGGTACCGAAGCCAAGCACGCGACATTCGTGGCGCTCTACGGCTTGCAAATGGCAACATACCCGAGCTCATGTACACGTTTGTCAGCTGTTTTTCTTCAGTTGATGCACCTACTGCTGCTGCATCGGGTGGTCGCGACGTGTCGAGCAGTTTTGTACTGCAGCGTCGTCTGATTCCGTGACCCCTTCTTCAGTCTCCCGTCAGTCCCGACCATCTTAGTGGCCGCCATGGTACCCCTCCTTCATCTTGTACCGCACGCCGCAGTACTTGCACGTCTGGGGACTGTTCTGCGTGCGCGTGTCCAGCTGAATGTACTCGACCGGGTGGCCCAGCGCGCCGCCCCCGCCGTCACACACTGCCACACTGGCGGCCACTTCGACGACCGGTACCTTTGCGATCCGCAACTCGGCGTCGCTGCGGTGGCGGTTTTGGTCCTAAAACGTAGCGATTTACACGGAAAAAGAAGCGAATTAGCACTCGCGTCGACCAACACGAACGCAGTACCGTACGCTTCCGCGCGACTCACTTCGTATGGCGTCTGGAGGTCGTAGATGGTCGAGATGCTCGCGTGCGGCATGCGCAGAGAGCAGCAGCAGCAGCCACCGACGCGGGGCTGCGCGGGCCACGCGCACGGGCCACAGAGCTCAGCAGCGCTTGGGAACTACGACGCAGCATAACAGGGTACACGGTATACGTACGGCGCAACGAAATGGGCGGCGGGCGGGTGAGCGACGTGTCGCTCGTGTGGTCGACGCACTCGATCAAATACGATGCACAAATCGCACACCCGCGAATACATACTGCGAAAAAAAGCGTTTTTTCGCTTCTTCTTTTATCAAGATAATAACCAGCACATGCCGGTTGCGCTCGTAGCAGAGACTCGAGACGTTGCGGCGGCAGTGGCGCACGCACACGTACCGTCTGTAGTGACACTCGACAATGGACAATGCTCGGTCAGGTCGTTTCTGCAGGCGCGTCCGAGTGGGGTGTACACGTGTGCACGAGCCAAGACACGGACGGTGGGGTTGGGCCCGTTGGATCACCTGTCAAAAGTGATCGTCGACTGGCCGTTTCACGTGCACCGCCTGAAGACCAGTCTCGAGCTGAAGTTGCACAACGCTAAGTACGACACGTCGAAGCTTTCGAGATTCCAAATGGCTACAGAACGACTCGTAACAGCTGTACTGAAGCAGTGGCAAGCCACTACTACTACTGAGACAATGGACGGCATGCTGTCGGTGCTATGGTACCCACTTCCAGAGAGCACGAACAGTGGATACGGACTGGCGGTCCACCTGTGCTCAATGCCACAGGTTCAGTCGACAACGTCGACGCTGTTGGTGTATGGCGAAGGGCGCGAGAACGCTCGATGCAAACACTCCAAGTGGATTGATGACCGCGTGCCACTTGAGCGCCACAGAGCACACGTGGCCGAGAAACGACTTGGACCGATCGATGAAATTTTGCTCCGCAGAGCAGGACGCGATGGGGATCAATTGTTGCTGGAAGGGCTTGTGACCAACTTTTTTGTTGGTACGGACTGAAGTTGGGGAAAAAGAGAGAGCGTACGAGGAAGTAGGTGAACTGAAAGGGACGCTGTGGTCTGTGACAATGCAGTGTGCGAGGATCGCGTGTACACGGCCGACGAGGGTGTGTTGGAAGGCAGTGTGAGGAAGTTGGTGCTTGATGCGTGCCGCGAGCTGTCCATTCTAGTGGTTCTTGAGCCGCCGAAGCTATCGGAGCGGACCTTGTGGCAGGCAGCGTTCATTACAAGTACGCATAGCTCGCTTTGCTACGTTATCTGGTAGCGGGGCTCAGACACTGAGCTCATTCATTCGTCGCCTTATTGTGCTGCTTCCGTTGTATGTAGGTGTTGTCCGTGTCGTGATGAGCGTCACGCGTCTGGTGTGGGAAGAGGAGATAAACGGCCATGAAGTAATGCAGGAGTGGTCGATTCCGAGTGATACTTGTGATCTGGTGCAGCGGATCCGAGATCACGTTTCGATGCACTGTATGTGTCTCGAGTAGCTTTCGCGAGCACATATGGAGACGGATGTGGCGATGCACACGAAACCAGTGAGTCGAAGGACCTGCCACTTCCAGGACGTTCACGTTGTCGACGGTGCGAGCAACTTGTGTATCAAAGGATGGCCGTGTTCAAGATCGACGTTTCATACGCTCTGTCACTGCGCCACTGGATCGATACGCAGGTCAATGTCCACTGACGGGTTATGTGTACATTGCACAAGCATTTGTGGCATCTGGATATGTGGGTGTTTCGTCAGCAGGTCAAATGCTCGCTCGGCCGTCTACTATCGTCTACTATCGAGAAAAGTGGCGCCGATGGAAGTAGCTCAAGGGCTGGTGAGCTTTGAACGAGCGTTGCATCTATTTGGATGGAGTGGAGAAAGAAAGCGTGCAAGTGGATGGAAAAACGCAGCGCTTGCTCGATTTCTACTCAGCTACGTGAGCTTTGTCCGCGACTGCAGGCACGTTGTTGCAGTCATGGCTATGATAGGCAAGCTGTATTGTGAAGTAACGCTAATAGTGGGCAAGACACCGTCACACGTTTCTACGTTTGTGTTTTGCACACACATGTGAACCGTCACATAGCGACATGTTGATCGTTAAAGCTGACTTGATGAACCGTATGTCAGCTCCAATAGGAACCACAGCGCGTGATCTCCGAAGTGGGATCGAGTGACACACACCGTGTGAAATAGAGCATCGATACAAACTCGGCGCCAATGTTGACGATAAAGAAGGCGTGCACCTTATTTTCGGTCGCACCACTACGGGTAGTCAGGCAAGGCGTCGCCGCGCTCTCACAGGCTACACACATATCGAAGCCCGTCCGCTCGACCAAAAGAGCACCGACCCATCGCTGCCGCGTCTATATTCCACGCTGCACACATCCCGACAGCAGAAACCTGTCGTACTGCATCAGAAGGCCATGCTTGTGAGTACTTAGCGCGCGCGCGCACACGCTCTCTCTCTCTCGCTCTCGATCAAGTGTCCAAATATGGGCTCTTATCCACTGCAATCCAAATCCCCCCCCCCCTCATATTGTGCACAAAACAACAACAAAAAGAGTCGATCCGCAAAAGAGCTCCTCAGATAGAGCTCTTTTGCGTCGCCACCACCCATTTGTCACAACCGCGTCACCCCATCATGAGCTCTTCGTGGGGCGAGACGCTGTTCGCCTCGCCGCTCTACACAGAGCGCGGCTGGCGCCCGAGCGCCAGCGCTGTCCCGTACTTCCAAGGCGCACTGGTCTTCATGACGCTCGTGTACCTCTTTGAGACGTACCTCGACGTGCGGCAGCACCGGAAGCTGCACGACAGCCGCTTTCCAGCGCCATTGCAAGAAGCGATCCAGGGACTCGGCCAGTATCGCGGGCGCCAGTCAGACGCAGCCGACGGTACCCAATTGGACGGCACTATACAAGCAGAGCGCACGGTACTCGCTGCCACAGTGGCAAAGTTCGACACGAGTCGCCAATACGGTCTCGACAAGAGCACGTTTGGCTTTGTGCGGGGCGCGTACCAGCAAGTGGAAGCGACAGCGCTGTTGCTGTTGGGTTATCTCCCGTACATGTGGACAGTGAGTGGCCAAGCGGTGGCTGCGCTCGGACTGGACGCGTCGAACGAGATCTACTGCGCGCTGATGCTCCTGACGCTCACGACGGTTCGGGACACGGTCGTTGACGTTCCGTTTGGGCTCTACTCGACGTTTGTCGTGGAAGCGCGCCATGGGTTCAACAAGCAGACGCTCGGGCTCTTTGTCACGGACAAGCTCAAAGCCCTGGGCCTCTTTGTTGCCATCGGGTACCCCGTGACAGCGCTGCTCATTTTCGTGATCCGGTGGGGCGGGCCGTACTTTTACGTGTACGTCGGGGCGTGCCTCTTTGTGCTGTCCGTCGTCATGATGACGCTGTACCCCGTGCTGATTATGCCGCTGTTCAACACGTTTACGCCGCTGGAAGAAGGCGCCCTTCGGACGCGGATCGAAGCGCTCGCGGCGAGGCTCGGGTTCCCACTGACCAAGTTGTTTGTCACGGACGGCTCCAAGCGCTCGAGCCATAGCAACGCGTACTTTTTCGGGCTGTTCAAGAGCAAGCGCATTGTGCTGTTTGACACGCTGCTGGAGCAAGCAACGCACGACGAGATTGTCGCGATCTTGGGCCACGAACTCGGCCACTGGCAGCTGTGGCACACGGCGCAGGGCTTTGTGATCCAGCAAGTGTACACGCTCGCGTCGTTCTACGTGTTTGGCCTGTGCATGCACAACGCCGAGCTGTTTGCGAGCTTTGGCTTTGCAGGGGACGCGGCCAAGCCCGTGATCATTGGGTTCCTGCTCTTCTCGCAGACCATGTGGGCGCCCGTCGAGCACGTGCTGTCGTTTCTGATCACGCTGAACACGCGCAAGAACGAGTTCCAAGCAGATGCGTTTGCAGTGGACCTCGGCTTTGACGCGGCGCTCAAGTCGGGGCTGACCAAGCTCGCGATCGAGAACTTGGCCAACATGAACCCGGACAGGCTGTACAGTGCCTACCACTACAGCCACCCGCCTCTCGTCGAGCGCCTCAACGCAATCACTGCGCGTGCCAAGAAGTCGCAGTAACAAGAAGGTTGGAGCAACGTGGTAGGGAGCAGTGTGCGTGTGGTGGTGGTGGTGGTGACCATCGCTGCAGCCATCATCACGCACGTGGTAATGCGCGAGCACAATGCAGCATGCGGGTGACACTAATGGCATTCCAACTGGTCAGTGCTTGCGTTGAGCACACACGTGCAGCGTGTTGCTTGTGTTGTCCATTCAAACGTGGCTCATTAGTGCGTGCATAACCAAACGACCGAACTTGCACACGACAAAAAACGACAGTACAGTTGCAGTTGCAGTTGACTACGCCCGTTTGCTGTCGAGTCCGACGTGACCAGCCACCGATCGAGATATACCGTCTCCTACCAGCAGCTTGGCCTGGTCGTCCTCTGGATACTCGATGCTCGCCCGAACAAGCAGCACTGGAACGCATACACAGCTCCCGAGCTCAAGGCATCCGTTGTGTGTACGTGTGGATCTGAATTTCTTGGCCAGCGTGGGGAGCTAATACGGACTCCTGGCCAGCACCACGTAGCGCATGCGCGTCTGGTTCGGGTTGTAAATAATGTACTCGCTGTGGTGGAGCCCCGTGCGCTTTTCAGGCTGGACGGACTTGCCCAAGGGCCAAACTGCGCCGTGAACGTCCACAACGTCGCCACTCGAGTCCGGACGGCACGAGCCAACGCCTTTGCAGCTGTGGTAATACGCCTCGTTGGCGCGTCCACCTGAAGCCGTGTGGACAAACTGTTTGGCATTGTCGTCCGAGTTCAGCATCTCTTTGCAGGCCCCAAGGGCGACTTCACTCAGCGCGAGTACGCACTGGTTGTGGCCGTTCGTTGGTCGGCAGTGGCAGTACGCCTGGGCTTTCGTCACCTTGTCGGTGAAGTACAGCCCTTTGCCAAAGATCCGTCCGTTCGAGGCCACTTCCGGAGGCGCAATGCGCAGCCCTTCCGACAAGATACCTGACCAGTTGGCCAAGTGACTGCCGTGCCACAGGATCTAGAGCACGAATTGCAGCACGAATTGATCGGCAGTCAGCAGCAGTTGGCACCTTCCAGACCGTCACAAACAACAATACCAGCGACAACACCAACAGCAACAACAGTGACAGTGGCAAACGACAGTCATTGCGCTTACCCGCCGATTGCTGAAGTGGCGAAAGGGTTCAAACCGCGTTTCCTGCTCGTTCTTCTCGACGCGAAAGACCGACAGCAGCTGCAGTCGATCTTGCTTGCGTCCGCAGCAGTTGGAGTTGCGAATGTACGTCTGGATCAGTGCAAAGTCGGGATTCGAGCTCTTGACCGGCTCGAGCTCGCACTCGAGCAAGTTGTAGCACTCGTCGAGATAGTTTCGCGAGGCGCATTGGCGAGCGACTGGATCATGTGCGATGCCACGCACACTGATCCCGACGTCGGCCAGGAGCTCGACTTTCTTGCCGAGTTTCACCATTGTATCAATGACCTCCAAGCGCGAGTGGTGTGGAATGAGCGAGTAGAAGTGGCTGCTCAGGTGTGTCAATTGGGCTCGAGAGACCTGTCGACTGCGCAACGCTTCGTACATTTCTTCCAAGGTCTCGTATCCCTGTTTCCAAGCAAGAACACACCACGACAGCACACACAACACACACACGCGTTGGTATTGCAACAAGTGCACAAGCCAACATGACACGCAAGGATCCGATCAACGCGCGCATTTTCCGTACGCGCTTGATGGTTGTCTTGGATAATCGTCCTAGTGGAAGCTTCATGACAGCGTCGCCCGACAAGTCGTCCGTGACTGTCTGGGCATACGACAGCTCGCTATGGTCCGCAATGAGCGTCACAAAGTCCTGCACATCGGAAGGCAAGCGAGAAGGCGGTGCTGTCGCGCATGTACACGTCAATGCCTCGGTCCCACTCGCCCCTGCTCCAGCGTCGCCATCCGAGCTGGCATACAGCCAGTCCAGTTGACTGCCTCGCGACTGCTGCGTGCTCGACGGAACTGTTGCACTCGTCGTGGGAGCACGAGTACTACGGGAAGCCGACGCTTTCCACGCAATGTTGCGACGCCGTTTGCGACTGGGCGTCCCTGCAGGTGGAAGCGCTGGTGCCGACGCCGAGACGAGCTCAAAGTCTTGGAAACTGTCTGCATCGTCCATCTCGCCTTGATTGTCTGCCAGCGCGCTCGTGAGCGACGGCGAGTACGGCGTGCCCGTGGAATAGTCGAGCTCAATCCACGTAAAACTGCCCTCTTGGAAGCGCAGCGCCTGGCGTTCGTTCCACTCGCACTTGGTCTTGGACGCAAAGAGCAGCTCAAACTCAAACGCGACTTTCGCAGCGCTAGCAAACTGCTTGAGCGTCGTTTTGCCCGCACAGCCGACGCGGCCCGCGCGGGTCCAGAGGTAAAAGTCCTGCTGGAACGCGAGCGCTTGCAGGGCAATGAACTCGCTATAGTTGTGGTGGATCCGCACCTGCACAACAGGGGGTCCAACGTGATCACGCGCATCACACATTAGCACACGTAATCACAGCAGCAGCATCATCATTTCACAACCCCACAACACATAAGTCGCGTGGCTCGTTTGCCCCTCATGTCGGTTTTGCAATGCGGCAACGGCAACTACAACATCAACAACAACATCAACAACGTACGCGGGTCAACATGGCGTTGTAGAAACTGCCGCCCTGTCGCAGCACCGTGGCGTCGCGCTGATAGGCCTCGGGCAAGTACGGGTCGGGCTTCAAGGCCTGGACTTTCTCCTCTCCCTCGGGGATAGACGGGTCGACTCCGCGCATGTAGCCACAACAGCTGCGCGCGTCGCGGTCGGGGTTCGGGGTGTAGCTCTTGGCCGTGTAGCCATTGACCGTGTAGCCATCAGCCTCCGCCTCATCGTCGTTGTCACTGCCAGTGTCGTCGTCCCGGGGCAGCTGGAGCTTGACGGCTTTGGCGTTGCGTCGCCCTGTGACGCGCTTTTTCAGTGGCGGCGACAGCACCGGAAGCTGCGAGGCACTGAGCTGCGAGCGCGTACTGGCCGCGACGCCGGAGCGTAGGGAAGAGACGCGCGTGAGGGTCGAGCGGGGCGTTCGAGGGGGCGTCGCGGGCATTGGCGACGAGGGATACGGGAAGGGCGACGAGCTCATGGCCGCCGCCGCAGCGGACGAGGTCTGGTACGCACTGGAAGACGAGGACGAAGCAGCGCGGCGCTTTTTGGTCATTGGGTCTTGGAGGAGAGGCGGCGGCGACGACGACAAAGCTGACCTGGCTGGCTGGATTGGGACTGAGCTCGCTGCGGGCTGGAGAGAACTGCTGGACTGAGCTCGTACTAGCGACAAGAGTCTCTGCTACTTGTAGTAGTAGTAGTAGTAGGAGGAGGAGGAGGAGGAGGACTGCTACAATTGCGACTGCGGCGGCTCTTCTTCCTGGTTGGGCTCTGCGGGTCTGCTACGGTGCGACTTGGGTCGGGCCCGGCCCTGTCTGGCATGTTGAAGTTTGTATGGCGAGTGGCGGCTGAGACTTGCTTCGGACGTGCGGGCGTGCGGGCACGTCCGGCCGGTCCTTTTGTGAACGCGATCGAGACGGTCTGTGTGTGTGCATTCTCTTTGCGTTTGTTTGTTTGTGTGCGTGCGTGGGCGGACTATTCACGCCGTCGTCATGTCTTTATTCGTACTCACACACGAGTGCAACAAAACACGCCGAAAAAAATGTCGAAAAGACTGCCGTCGCTCGCTATTGATTGCCGATGAACAACAGCGAGGGAAGAAGAGAGATATGCACGCACGCTGTCCGCTACTCGATTGGAAGACGTCGTGATGGAACTACCACGAGGATCGCGCGCCGCGTCCGTGGAACAGACAGTCAGTCAGTCAGTCAGTCAGTCAGCTGACTGTTGATGCTGATGACGACAACGGCGGTAACAGAGCATTTCGTCCTAGATGACCATCGATCGATAAATAGATAGGGTTAGTAGGCAGATTTATAGCTCCATCTGAAGCGTCGCCTTTTGGCTCGAGAACACGTCTGACGCGGGTCACGCCCGACGTTGAAGACCGACTCAGATTCGCTCCTGTCACTTCACCTCCCCTTCCCCTCCCTCCTCTTCCGTCTGTCGTGTAGACACAACCTACACACCAACTAACTTAACCTACACACTAACCTACACACCAACCTACATACGTACCACCTATGGTACCTGATCCAGAGAGGTCTCTTCTTCACTTCTGCGAGCGCAGCGAGCAGACGTCACTATCCCGAGGGACCTCTGCACACCAACGCCCCACATGCTAACGCGCGCTCGACGTCGTTTCGGCCGCGCTACAAGTCGCTGTTTAGCTCCACGCGCCACAACAGCGCGTCGCGCCACGCACTGGTCCCCATGTCCGCTGTCGTCGACGCTGTGTTCGGCTCGTACGACCTCAAGAACGCCAAACAATGGCGCGACGAGGACCTGTTGTACCGCGAGCAGGAGAAACAGTGGCGCGAAGACGCGATCCGGCGCGAGTGCGAGTGGCGGTGCGCCGATTTGGTGCGGGAGCGCCGCGTGCTGAAGCTCGAGAACGAGAAGCGCATCATCGACGCGCGGCATCGGCAGCTCGTGTCGGTCTCGCAGATGTCGGCGCTGCTCGCGGGCTTTACCATGTCGACGATCGTCGAAGTGCAGATCGCCGACGCGACGAGTGAGCCTGTGATTGTCGCCTACGGAGCCGTGTGCTGCATGGAGGTGCGGGACGTAGGGGCAGACGCGTACACTGTGCTCATGGAGGAGCGAGTGTTGTAGTAGTAGTAGTAGTAGTAGTAGTGTGGTTGCTGCCTTGTTGTGTCTGCTGCAATTGTGGTGGTGCAGGTCGTTTGACAAGGGGTGTTACTGTTATTGCTGTTGCTGTTGCTGTTGTTGTTGTTATTGTCGTTGTTGTTGCTGTTGTTGTTGTTGTTGTTGCTGTTGTTGCTGTTGTCGTTGCTGTGTTATTGCTGTTGTTGTTGCTAGTTCATTGCCATGTTTACGTGCATGTTGACGTGTACGGCGCTGTTGCTGGCGCTGACGCGGTTCGTGACGCACGCGCTGGAAGGCGAAGTGCACGCGCTGTCGTCGTTCGAGCTGGACGTCGTGTCGCCGTTCTACGGCTGGTGGCTGCGGAAGTGCGAGCGCGATTGGATCATGGCGTACCATCTCTTCCGCCTCGGGCTGTGCCTGTTCCTCGCTCAAGTGGCGCTGCTGGGCTGGGCGGTCTTTGGCGAATGGGTTGCGGCCGCGTCCTGCATGACAGTGCTGTGTGCGCTGGCACTCGCCTACTTGGAGCTGCGCGTGGCCAGTCGATGGCGCTACCTCGTGCAGTTCCCCGTACCGCAGGCAGCCGAGTCGCCCCCATCGAGGCGATCGAGCACCTTGTCGCCGTCTCGAGTCCTCTTGGCCCAATAACAACTCGTCCGGTCGTTTCACTACTCTCCATCGTTCGTGTTGTTGGTTTACTACCACTACAACTGCAACTATAACATGCGTACCGCCGAGAAAACCATGTGGTACACACACACACACACATTCCCTTCCTCGACTCGGAACGTACGTCGAACACTGCATCCATTTTCCAACGCCTCTTCGCCGCCTCGTCTCCCACCCCACCAACCCCTCCTACTACTTCAGAAGAAAAACACGACGACACCGACGACACCGACGACGACACCGACAACACGACAGCAGTGGGTAATCCTCGTGGATCTTCTGCTACCCCGAACCGCCGCGAGCGCGTCGGACAGCCAGTCATTCCCCCTTCGACACCCAAAAGGTCCACACGTATATATACAGTACACGGCCGGTCACGTACGTACCTGCACCCTACGCAGCGCATGGCCGACCAGTTCGTCGTGCACAAGTTCGGCGGCACGTCCGTCGGCAATGCCGCGTGCTTTGCCAAAGTCGCCGCCATCGTCGCGCACCTGCCGGACCCGCGCGTCGCCGTGGTCGTGTCGGCCATGGGCGGCCAGCCCAAGGTCACGGACCTGCTCATCTCGCTGCTCGCGCTCGCCCAGCAGCGCCGCGCGGACGAGTGCACTGCGATCTTGGCCACGATCCGCGCAAAGCACCACGAGGTCGTGCAGGCGCTACTGCCGCCCGACGTCGCGGCCGCGATCGACGCAGCGATCGCACGCGACCTGCACGCGGTCGCCGAGCTCCTGCGGTCCATCTCCATCATGCGGGCGTACAACGACAACGTGGTCGAGTTCATCTCGGGCCACGGCGAGATCTGGTCGGCCATGATCCTCGCAGCCGTCCTGAGCGCCACAACGCGCGCCGACGGCCGGCGCCACAGCTTTCGCTTCGTCGACGCGCGCGAGTTCCTCACGGTCGAGTCCACGAGCAGCGGCCACGGCCCCGTCGTGCAGTACGACACGTCCATGCAAAAGCTGCAGGCACTCGTCCAGAACGACAGCACCAGTGGCAATGGCCACGGCCCCCTCACGCACCTCGTGATCACGGGCTTCATCTGCAGCACCGCCGACGGCGTCATGACGACGCTCAAGCGCGACGGCAGCGACTTTACGGCGTCCATCTGCGGTCGGGTCTTGCGCGCCCGGAGCGTCACGATCTGGACCGACGTGAGCGGCGTCTTGAGCGCCGACCCCCGGCGCGTGCCCGAGGCGCGCATCCTGCCTGCAATCTCGTACCAAGAAGCCATGGAGCTCGCGTACTTTGGGGCCAAAGTGATCCACCCCAAGACCATGGCGCCCGCCATGCTCGACAACGTGCCCATCTATATCCGCAACACGTTTGCGCCCGCGGACGTGGGCACAAAGATCGCCGACCAGTGCGCCGTCGCGCGCACGCGGTCGCTGTCCACTGGTGCGCCAACGGCCCGCACGGTCGTCAGCGGCTTCTCGACCGTCGACGACCTCGCGCTGTTCAACGTGGAAGGCAGCGGCATGGTCGGCGTGCACGGCACGTCGTCGCGCCTCTTTGGCGCGCTCGACCGCGTCCAGATCAACGTCGTGCTCATTGCGCAAGCGAGTTCCGAGCACTCGATCTGCTTTGCTGTGCCGCAATCCGCTGCGGCCGTCGCGCGCGACGTCATCAACGAGACGTTCTTCAAGGAGATCCACGTCGGCCACATTGACGCGGCCGCGTACGTCGCGCCCGTGAGTATCATTGCGGCTGTCGGCGACCAGATGAACCAGACGCCCGGCGTCTGTGCGCGCTTCTTTGGCGCGCTCGGCCGCGCCCAGATCAACGTCCTGGCCATCTCGCAGGGCTCGTCCGAGCGCAACATCTCAGCGGTCGTGCGGTACGAAGACTCGGCCGCAGCGCTGCGGGCCGCACACGCGGCGTTCTTCCTGTCGGACCAGACGCTGTCGATCGGTCTCGTGGGCCTCGAGCTCGAAGCCGCGGCCCACGACACGGGCGTCGCGCTCTTGAAGCTGATCCGCCAGCAACGCGCGTTCCTCACGCAGCGCTTCCACGTGGACCTCCGCGTGCGCGCGATTGCTACGCACCGGTCGGCGCAGATGCTGCTCGATGTCGACGGCGACCTCACGGACGACGTCGGGACGACGCGGCGGCACGAGTGGGTGCCGTTCGACGCCCGCGCGTTCCTCGATCACGTGTGCGTCGACCATTTGCCCCACTGGCTCATCATTGACGTGTCCAACAGCTCCGAGTACGTGGCCGATCTGTACCCGCAATGGCTCGCGCGCCACGTGCACGTCCTGACGGCCAATGTGAACATCGCGTCCGTCTCGACGGCCGCGCACAAGGCCCTGCAGCAGACCGCAATGGCCCACGAGCTGACGTACGACCCCGAGGCGACGCTCGCGCTCGGCGTCCCGATCTGCCACACGCTCCAGAACTTCCTCCAGACCGGCGACGACGTCCAGCGCGTCGAGTACTCGGGCAGCCGCGTGCTGCACGCCGTGTTGGACGCCGTGTTGGCATGCGCGGACCCGCTTCAAGCTGACCTGGGACCGATCGTCGCGCACGTTATTGCCCAGCACAAGAGCGCGTGCAGCGTCCGCGACCTCATGGACGACGTCATGGGCGTCCAGAGCGCCAAGAAGGCCGTCATGATTGCGCGCGAGATGGGCGTCGACATGGAGCTGGCGGACGTGGTGATCGAGCGCCCGTGGACCGGCAGTCACGACCACGTCGAGACGTGGAGCTTTGACGACCTCGTGGCCTATTTGGTGGACGCGAGTGGGCCGTTGCGGCAGCAGATTGCTACAGCGGCCGCCGACCCCACGCAGGCCTTGCGGCTGCGTCAGATGACGTACATTGACGCCAGCACCGGCACGATATCGGTCCGCGTCGAGGCTTTGGCACCGACGCACGCGTTCGCCGCGCTCCAGAGCCGCCAGGGCGGCTTTGCGTTCTACACGCTGCGGCATTCGCTGCACCCGGTCGTGGTCACGGGTCCGCTCGCCGACTGCTATATCACAGCGGGTTCGCTGTTTGGCAGTACGCTGGCGGTCGCACGGCGTTGCGGCGCGCATCACTGCGGCCACGAGGCACTGCGTCCGCTGAGCTCCAAGGCGTGAGACGGGAGCGCTGTCCAGAGCTCTGCACACACGAGTGTGTTGCGTCTGCATACCTTATAGAGAACTTGTTCACCTGCAACACGTAGTAGACGACGACGCACTGGATGCTGTATCATGTACCGAGCGAGTCTCTTTGTCACACTGGCACCGCAACGCTCGGTCCTCTGCTGCTGCTGCTGCTGCTGTTGTTGTTGTTGTCGTTGTTGTCGTTGTTGTTCGTGGGCTGGACGAGGTAGCGCCACCGACTCGCGAACCGCAGATTGTAGTACAGCAGTCCACAGGCACAGAGCACTGAGACGACCGTTGCAGCGACTGTCGACGTGACAAACACGATCCAGCTGCTCAAGGCAATGGCGACGAGGAAGAAGGACGCGGCCGTGCGGAACAGGTGGAACGCCAGCAGCCACTCGCGCTCGCACGTGGCGACCCACCACGTCGTGACCGGCGACCGCGTGTCGAGCTCGGCGGCCGAGAGGCGGCCGACTTCGCCCTCGAGCGTATGCACGACGAACCGCGTGATCGCCAGCAGCAGCAACGTGCACGTGAGCGTGCAGAGCAGCATGCAGAGGAACTCGAGGCAGCTGATCGTGCCGTAGAGCACAACGAGCAGAGCGCTCGTGTCGTCCTCGAGCGTGCGAATGTCCTGCAAGAAGCGCATCGAGAAGAACGAGAGTATGGCCGAGAGCTGCGAAATCGTCTGCAGCTGCTGCCGCCGCGCGTGCAACAGGCGCTTCTCGGACTCGAGTTTCGCCACGCGGCGCTCGCGCTCGACGTCGGCGCGCCGCCACTCGCTCTCGCGTCGGATCGCGTCTTCGCGCCACTGTTTCTCCTGCTCGCGATGCCGGCGGTCCTCTTCTCGCCATCGCGTGGCGTTCCGGACGTCGTACGAGGCAAACACGGCGTCGACAATCGCCGACATGCGATGATGGGAAGAAGAAGAGGAAGAAGAGGAAGAGGACGAAAAAGAGGACAAGTGGCGTTGTCACTGGCGCGCCACGAAGAGCTACGAATGGATACGTATTGGGGTGCTGCGTGAGACGCGACAGCCTTGGATACAGCATACCGGGCTGCAAAAGCGACTTAACTGAGAAAGAGCCAGTGCAGTGGACCATTGATGCGAGCGCAGGGTAGCTACCGACATATAGCTGGAAAGCGCAGAAGAGACGCCGACTGGATGGCCTTTTTTCTTGTCACATGTTGCGGAAGTCCTTGTGAGCAAGAGAAAGGGGGAGGGGGCGACGGGTCTCGTCTGCCCTTGGTAGATGGTGCACGACAAGCAACGCGGATAGACAGTGAGTGGTGTTACATGACATGGCGCGTCAAGCGGCACATGTCGTCGGTCGTTCATGAGAGGATACCCCACAGCAGTAGTAGCAGTTGCAGCAGCAGTTGCAGTGGTAAAGCAGTCTGCTTTTGCCACTGGTTGCACGCAGCTGGTGGGTGACAAACGCCGCACTTCCATGTCCTGTCAAGACATTGTCGTCGGTGCTATTCGCGCATGCTCAACGTCACGGACGTGCAGCTATTGCTCGTTGGTGGAGACTATGCGACGTTGTTGTTGTTGTTGCTGTTGCTGCTGCTAGCGGTGGTGAAAGCCCTTGCGCGGTTTCATGTATGAGCGGCACTACAAAACGCTCGACCTCATTGGAAGGAGACCGCGTTATGGGCGCAAACGAGCGACGCGGATTCGGTGCATGCGCTTCGTCGTGGCACATCGAGATGTTTGTTTGCTCTAGTAGAAGACAAGCACCAAACACGTCTCCAGACGGTCCGTTGCTCCTTTCGTCGGCTACGTTGAGACCCGTATGAAAGTCGCTCCTGTCATCCAGTCAGCCGCGTCGTACTGTGCCGAAAGCGGAACGACTCTCGTGTCCCATCATCACGACGGCGAAAGTTGACGGCTTCGGTGTTCGATGGGTGCGTGGATATACTCACTGCCTTCAATCGACCGCGAGCGACCGCCGACATCATCGACTTGCTGCTCGATTGTACAAACGGTAGCGGGATACATCTTGTCAAACGGTGGCTTCTTCGCGCGGCAGTGCTATCGCTCATTCTGTCTGGCAGTCTGTCTGTCCATCTATCTATCTGTCAGAGGATAAGTGCGATGGAGTGAGCCCGACTCGATCTCGATGCGGCAACAATCCATCACGTCTGTCTGATCCTCCTCCTTCTCCTCCTCATCGAGAGGCCGTGAACCTGCGACTTACGTAGGGCGTTTGCACACAGAGACAGGTCCGTCGGCGTCTTGTCCACCGTAGGTAGCGCTTCGTCTGTACCCATCACCCATCGACCGTGGCCACGACTGACTGTGTGTAGCATCGCTGACCTCAAGTAAGTAGCGTCATCGCGCCGTCATCCACGACGATCCGCCTGCCTCGGGGACGGCCTCCGACTGCAATCGTGACAGACCCTCCCACATCCTCCATCCGACCTCGACGTGGGATTTGCGACGTGGCGACGAAAGGACACACGCGACCACTTCAACTCGACCAACAACAACAACGACAGCCAACAAACAAACAAACAAACAAACGCACACACACTCTCTCTCTATCACTCACGCCCCTCTCTCTCTCTCTCTCTCTCTCTCTCTCTCTCTCTCTCTCTGTGTCACTACTGTACGGAAGTTGAGGTTGTCAGCTCTTCGACCACATCGAAAGTGCCACTTTCAACTGCTTTGTGCCCCACTCGCCGCCACTTGTCGCGTCGTGAAGTTGTCGTACCTGTTGACCACTTTCGGCTGTGCTTCAGTCTCGAATCGGCGCTCTCGGACCGACCACTTGACCGCTCACTTGCCCACAAGAGCGTCAACGTACCCGATACTTTCAGAGCCCAATCGCTCCACACATAGCAACGCACCCATCCGGCGCTCCTCATGACCTCCGACGGTCGCGTCTCCCGAGTCGTTGCTCGACTACTGCGTCCATTCCAGCGCGACAGTCCGTCACCAAAGCACTCGGCCACTGCCTCGTCGCGCCCCACGAGCTGCTCCCTCTCCTTCTCGTCCCGAAGCAGCACCAGCAATAGCAATAGCAATAGCAATAGCAGTAGCAGTAGCAGTACGACCTCTCCACCTCCTCGTCGTCGCCCCACGACCGCAATTCGCGTCGTGTTTCCGCTCAAGCTCAGCGCCAATGGCGTCCCCGAGACGGTCCTGATGCCGCCCGCGTTCTTCCGCTACCTCCGCACGATCGTCGAGCAGACCGTTGCGCTGTCTGCGGGCCACAGCGCCGCCACGCGCGCCAGTCATCGCACCAGTCGGGACACGTGCACCCGCACGCGTCGCGAGTGGCGCTGGCGACGCGAGTACCGCACGAAAACGCTCGAGAAGCTTTTGGCCGTGCTGACCGAAGACAGCCGCGACGGCGACGGGTTCGCCAGCGCCCTCGGTCGCCGGCCGGCCAAACCCGTGCCCCTGGCGAGCGCTGTGCAAGCGCTGCTGCAGCTCTGGAAGTGCTGTCTCCGGATCCTCAACGTGCTGGCGCAGGACGACAGTGAGGGGCCGTTTCCCGCTGGCTCGCGGCACACGATCGCCCACGGCATTGACGCCACTACTGCTGCTGCTTTTGCCGTGCGCGATAAGCGGCGGCAGCTCCAGCAGACAGTGTTGACGGTCCTGGCACTCGTCGTCCGACGCCAGGAGCTCGACGCGCTGTTTGTTGCTGTCGGCCACGGCGGCTGCCCGTCCCATAAACCCATTGGCGACGACGTCGTCGGACCGCAACGTCGTCGTCGTCGGTCCGTGTCGCGCGCGGCCCGACGGCGGTCGTGGAGCAGCTCGAGCAGCTCCAATGCTGCGACAAACAAACGCACGTCGCTCTCGTCGACGCTATTGCGGCCGTGTGCCGCGCGTCCGAGCGCGCGGACCGACCTGCGGCTCTGCGACTCGGTGCACCGGTTGCTGGAGCTCCATCAGCTGACGCTGCCGTACGCGTTCGACGCTGTTCAGAGCGCTTTGGCGTTGCCCACGCCGTGTGGAGAGCTGCAGCAGGACTTATTGGCAGCTCTGGTCGCGACGAGTTACACGCGCGTGCCGCAGCTCCGCAGCCATATGCTCGACCACCTGCGCACCCGCGTGCCACTTGCCGCCGGGTGCAGCGCCCGGTCGCTGTCGGGCTCGTTCGTGGACTCGCGCGGGCGGTCGGCGTGCGAAGCCCAGCGGCGCTATACGCCGTACGACTGGCACACGCGCACGTATCCGCAGTGCCTCGAGGTCCTCCAGGCAGTGAATCGAGACGACCGGTGGGCGCCCGTGGCCGACCTGTTGACGCGTCTCATGGCCGACGCCGACGGCTGTCGGTGGACATTGGCGCAGCTCTTGGAACAGCTCACGGGGCCGCAGGTCACGGGACGCACCGACTGGAAGGGGCTCCCGGGGGCAGCAGTGCTCCACGACGCGTCGCTCGAGTTGGCTCTGCGCCTGTACCAGCGCGAGCTGCAGCAGTGTGCACCTGCGGAACCGGACGCGTTGGCGGCGGCCGAGGACCGAGCGGCCGACGAAAGTGCGTCGACTGGCAAAGCCGACCAAGACGCAGTCGCGGCGCTGAAGCCCGCGGCCTACTTTATGGACCAAGTGACTGCGATGATGCACGAGAACGTCGCGTTCCTGCACGACTACGTGACGGCGCTCTTCCAGGCGACCAACTACGTCGTGCCGCACCACGTTGCGCTGTGCTTGCAGTACGTGGACCAGCTCATGCACGCGTTCCCTGCGTTCTTTGCCAATGCGTCCACGGCTTCGTCGTCGTCGCCGTCGCCGTCGTCTTTGCCACTGACCGACGTGGCGACGATCCATTCCGCGACGGCCCACGTTTTGCCGCGTCAACAGTCGTGTGCCGACGGCGAGACGCTGCGCTACGTGTTTTCCTGTCTGCTCGAGTCGGAGCACTTTGAGATCCTCAAAGCGACGGAACTGTTTCTGCTGCAGCGCTTTACGGGCCTGTCGCGCGCGGTGCAACGCGAGCTCATTGACGTGTTTGCCGCCCACTTTCCGCGGCTCTTTCTGCATTGGAACCACGACGTCCGGTATTGCTACCACCACATGTTGCTCTACTTGACGTACCCGGGCAATCGACTGGTGCTCGGGGCCAAGTCGGACGAAGCGCTCATGGGGGCCAAAGCGGCCTGGCTCTTTGAGATCCCCGGCCTCGTGCGCCACGAGAGCAGCGCCAACTGGGACGCGTTCGACGAGCCACTGTATCAACTGGTCACGCGGTACGTGCACTTGAGTAAACGTCGGGCGCAGCCGCCAGGACAGACGCACGCGCCGTCCACGTGGGTCGACGCCGTCTCGGACGACATTCTCCAGCGCGCCATGAGCGAGTACAAGACCCACGTGGGCAAATACTTTGGCCTCGCGCAGCAGATTTCCATGCACCGGCGCGTGCCGACGCCCGTGTTCTCCGTCAGTACGGGCGAAACGGCGACAGTGGATGTTGACGCCGACAGGCTGTGCACGTCTGCAATCTTAGCGTGAGACACGCGGCTGGTGAAGTTTACGTGGCCACGAGGAGCGACGACGTCGTGGCCAACATGGCAACAACTGCTACTATACCTACTGACACTATAACTACTGTACTAGTATTGACACTACTGCGACTACTACTGCTGCTCGAAGCTGTGCGAAACGAGTGGCCACTACTGACTGCGTCTGTTGATGGAGCTGCGCCCGCTTGGCAGTAGTCCATTGCTACGGCCACGTGCTTTGTACCACATCTTGAAGAAGAGGAGAAGGAAAACGAGTCGATGCTCACGATCGTCATGCGCCGACATTTCTCCACCGGTCGCCGCGTCTTGTGCTCGCTCCAAGAGCTGCAGAACCTCAACGGCCGAGGGCTCAAGTTTCCCGTGCAATTTCCAGAGCAGCAGTCGCAATTGAGGGAGGCAGAGCCAGCAACGACTGTACAAAGGGCTCGACGACGAGACGCCCTGGCAACTGGTTTCGTGTTTTGGAGTCAAGAGACGCAGCAGCCCCGTGCGTTCCTCAACAGGTTCGCCGCTTCGTACCGAGTGACGCGCACTCGCGCGGCACCACCAGTCGACGAAGAAGTGACGTTGATGGTCTGCTGACGCTTTTGCGCACCTGTGGTCGTTGATAGGTGTCCCCACGCGCTGTTGGAACTCGACTGGGACGACAGCGACTTTTTCTGCGAAGGGTTTCTCTTCTGCAAAGCCCACGCGGCGTTTTTCGATCCCGACACGGGCGTTTGTCTTCGAGGGCCGACGTCGTCGCGCAAACCGCTGAGTGTGCGTGTGTGTGCACGTGTGTGTGTGTGTTCTTCCAAAGGCGTGACGGCGTATACCCACTTGCCATAACTCATGTCGTGCGACTGCTGTCTACGTTTTGTGGGATGTGGAAACGTGCGGACAGAATCTCAATGCGCTTCACGTGGCAATTGACGGGGAAGACATTGTGCTACTGACGGAGGCGGCGCAACAAGGCAGCGATCCCTCGCTTGCAACGTCGGCGGCTTTGTCTGGTCCAGCCGACCTGGCGGCTTACAAGCGCGAGAAACAACGAGAACTTGCAAACGCACTGTCGAAGCGATCAGAGGCGGCCTCGGACGTCGAAGCGATGCAGCATCAACTGCATGAAAAGACAATGGCGCGGCTAAAGCGGTACGAGCAGATCGACGACGCACGAGCTCGTGAAAAGTGCGTGTGAGCAATCGATAAGAAGCGCTCGATGCATTGTGTTCACGCGGTGGCAGCAACGTGAGCCTATGGAGACTAAGTACATCGGCACGAATGGTTCGAGCGGACAGTGCTGCGAGTGCAGGACGTTGTCCGTCGGCGACATGGAAGCTGCAATACAGTCGTTGGTAAGGACAGAAGAGCAGGTCCTAAAGCTCGTCTTCTGATCGAAGATATCAATGCATGCCGAGAAAACGGATTAGGTGCGTGTCGGATCTTCACGTGCCGACTTTAGGTGGGTTGGAAGTGGCAGCTGGTGGATGGACAGGGCGTTGTGCAGTGTGAGCATTGGCGTCATCCAATCCAGTCCGAGTCGCACTTGTCATCTATGAAGAACGGAACACCGACGGACTTCTCTGCGCTTCGCACAGAGGCAGACACAGCCACAGACGCACAAACAGTAGTAGTCTTCTTACCGTCTTGACAATTGACGGAAGAGTCGCTGCTTGTTTAGCTGCTGCTGGTGGTAACGCTACTACTGCTGCGGCTGTTGCTAGTAATGGTGGCCCTAATGTCGCAGCACGAACGGTATTCGACCTTTGCTGTCACCTCGCGACGCCCCGCTCCCGAATGGCTTTGCCTCTCGAACTTGCACTCATTCCACGATGTTGCCGTCAGACCTGACCTCTCACCTCTGACGGACTGACTGACGGACTGACTGATTGATTGATTGCCCGAACAATCCACGCGGGCAGCCACGAACAGCCCATCAGAGCGACCAGACGCTTCGACACACGCACACGCACGTAGAGCGTACAGCGATTGCCAAACCCGAGCAGTCGCGACAAAATCTGATGTGAGATCGCTTCGCCCACTGCTTTAGAAGCCACGCGACTGGTTCTTTGCACCACGCGGCTGAACCGTCCGCGGCTTCTTCAGGTGATCCGTTCTGGTTCATATTGAGCTCCATCTGCCAAGAACATTTGTGGACCGAGCGGAACTCGGCGGTCTTTAGAGGAGCCGTGACTACTCCATCCGCAAGTGTCCAAATGTACTGGACACGCGGTGTTCGCCAGCTACGGGCAATTGCAATACGCGAGCATCGAGCCGCGGCTACGGCCGTACGAGGGGCCCGACTTCATGCCTGTCTTGAACTTCTGATTCAAGAGCCCCGTGGACACCCGCCCTACGCGGGTGTCAGCCACGATCCGCTGCCGCGACCGGCGCTCATATCCTGGCTCAGGATTTTTCAGACCTCTTGTCCACATTAAATATGTCAATAGATGATCATGAAACTCCTCCTCCTTCTTCAGGTGATCCGAGAGAGAGAGAGGCAGACCAGTCTACTCAACTGTTTAAGGGTGCAAGATGTCTGTCAAGATCCTAAGCCCGGACGGCAACGCCGGTGCTCATACGAGTCCGGTGCGCGACTTCTCGACGTGGAGTGCGATCACTGAAGTGACTGCACGGCGTGGGGAACGCCACTTCGCCGTAGTTTCTCCCCGAAGAGCTCATGTATCTGCGATGGTGGCTCCCATCGGTCCACTGCGCCCACACCTGAGACTGCGAGTGCAGCTTGCTCGAGGCCGACCTTAGACCCCGTCGGCCCCCCGAGGGGAGGAGGAGCATCTCCGACGTGGCCGCCATCGAAGGGGCAAGAAAAGACTGGCGTGAGCTGAACCGTGAAAATTTGGGAATCGACTTGTTCTGGTGATCACGTCGTCTCCGGCATTGGTCGTGTTGCAAAACTCACCCGACATTCCCTCCATCGCATCGTTTAGCAATGAACTGCTCACTGACCTTTGACTACAATGAGCAGTCAATCGGTCGAGACGTGACTTGTAGCGTGAGTAGGTGGGCTCGTGCAGCGAGAGCGAGAGAGAGAGAGACTAATGGACGACAGTCTGAAGCCCCATCGATGCCCACAATCGCGACCTATGCGTATCAGTGCTGTCAACTACACCCGACGACTGCCTCTTCTCCTTCTCCATCTTCTTCTGTCTTCCACGCGCGTCAACGCATTCTGATCCTTCAAAGCCCCTTCTGCCGTCAACGAGTCACGAGCCCTTTGCCGCTGCACGATTGCTCCGAGCTGAGCCTTTGCCACGACGTCGCTGTAGCACGTCGCCCATACCTCTAGCTAGTCGACCGTAGCTACTGCACCACTGCGACGCAATATCCACTTTTTTCGCAGTACCTTAAGCCCTCTGCAGCGTCTCCCGTCCGTGGGGCAGAGCGCTCGTCTATCAAGACCTGACCAGGTCCGTCACGACGTAGGAACGGGCGTAGTCGCGTTCCCATGAACACTTCGTACAGTATGGCAAACAACGACCAGAACGCTTTTGGCCCCAAAATCGCTTTGAAATGCACTCGTGTGTGCCAACGCACGGACACTGCAACAACCTGAGACCTCTTTTTTCGCAAACTCTTTCGTCACGATAGCAGTAGGGGCAGTCCAACGTGCCTTGGACGCATACGTAGCTCCCAGTCTGTCTAAACGAACGCAGGCCGTGGCCACGCCGTGGGTGAGCAGGCAACAAATCGGGCCTTGGGCTCCCGAGCTCAGCTTGAGCTTCGGCCGTTTAGGGACAACGTCGTGCGGATGAAAGCTGGTCGGGCAAAGCTGCTCTCGAGACAGTGTGTTGTTGATACAAGAGACAAGACGCGCTCACCTCGCGACAGGTGCTGCTGCTGCTGACCCCATCGGCTGGGACCGTTTGTGCTTCCGGAGGGGGCACCCAACGTGGTTGAATACACGCGGAGGTGTGTGTGTGTGTGTGACACGTCTTATCAGTCCGTCCATCCGTTCCTTCGAGGCATTCAGCAATTCGCGTCCAGGCAGACACGTCTTTGCGTCCGTCGTCCACTCCCTTTGACGCCAATGCAGTCCCCCGGGAAGCTCTTGTCCACGCTGTCAGTCGCGCTTCTTGTCCTGGCCAACGTCTTGTCAGCCGATACGCCACCGACGCTCACGTCTCCTTCTTCTCCTTCTTCTTCTTCTCTGCGGTCGAATGGAATTGACGCCGAGACTTCGCCAGTGCTCAAGGACAAGAGGATCGTCGAAAAGCACTCGAAACTCGACGATGAGAGACTGTTGGCGGCGTACTATGGTAAGGTGATCTTGCACCCGTATTTACATCACCTGAACAAGGACCCGCCGCACCCGAAGCCGCCGATGCTCTCTCGATCGCGATACGAGGCGCAACAGGCACTTTTGAAGCTCGGAGGCGTGCGCGAGGACCAGCCGTTTGAAACATGGATCACGAGGTTTATAAGCGGCAACAAGAAGGTGCAGACGCCTGTGTTCCAGCACTGGGTTGCGAACGAATTGTCGCCCGAAGAACTTGCCGAGTTGCTCGAGAAAGCAGGGAAGAGCCATCAGCACTACGCTGGCTCCAAGCGCATGGTGGCAAAGTACCGCCGCTACCGCAACGCACCTGCCGCGCGCAGCAAATCCCAATAAGGCGAGCGAAGTAGCAAAACTAATGATCGAGTACATTTTCCCCTTCTTGTCGCAATGCTGCGCTGTGTTTCTTGGGCGGTTCAAGTCGAAAAGTCGGTGACTGACTGTGATCGTGGACGCCGAGTGGCTCGGGCCCTCGCAGGCTTTGGCGACTCGGTGCCGCTGGATCTGTGCTCTGCTATCTCCTTTCGTCGTGCGATGTCTATCTACGTCTACGACGGTGATGCGCAAGTCGAGCGACGACGCGTACTTGTTACCTGTCAACGCAACAAGTTAGTGCCCTCATCGATCACGGTCCGGGCCGTCGACTGCAACTAGCTGAGTCTTGATCCTTTCTTCCCTCTGGACAATGCAGTCGGCGCAAATTTGATACTGAACGACACTTGTTGTGGTGGTCATGATGATGACTTTGTTCCTCGCGTGGGGGGTGCTACTCGGCGTTCACGCTTGTCAAGTCAGTGACGTACACGACTTGCTCGACTTTGTTAAGCCATGACTTGCTTCCCAGACGCGTGAGAGTCAAGGAAACACGTTAGTCAAGTGAATATTGAGTCAGTGGGCCAAGCATGGCCTGGCCACCGTCGCAAAGGTGCATCCAGTGACTTCGTACGTACGTCGATGTTTGCTTATCTGTGCTGACGTATCGATGGCAGCTACGTACGCTTTTACCTCGCACAACAAAGCGCTTCGATTGCGGCGAAGCTTAGCACAAGACAGTCAGGACAAGAGCTTTACGACGGCCTGGACGACAACATACTGTGACGGCAACACATTCGTGTCGTTCAGCCTTATTTCACTGCCAAGTGTATATTCAGTTCAACGTCTTGCACGACAGAAGCTTGCTGCCTGGTAGGGCTGCACCTACGTCTCACGATATTCTCGCAATCATCCAGTGCGTCACTAGTCGTCTCAGCGACATCACTGAAGACGAGTCGGTTCGAAATGTCTCCAATGCTTTAGCTCCGCAGACGGAGACGACGGGACCGACTGTTGCGGTGAGGTGAACTCGACCACGCGATTCGATTGTAGTCATGTTGTCACCACGAACGTTCATGCACCTGATGGCAGACGTGCGCGGAGCAAGAGCCAACTACAGCAGCTTCTTTTGCATGTGGGCGAGGACATGACTGTATCGTCACAGCTCTGTCCAGTAGTGCTTTTTCCTTACTGACATCTGGTAATCACGGCGTCGTTTGCCTCCTCCATCGCCACAAACTAGGCTTCGAGCAGACGGCCGCACATCGTTGTGAAGACTTGTGTTGCACATTACTGCTAGGAATGCTGTGCGATGGTAAGTATGTCAGCACGATGGAAACCCTACGATCGAGCGTCTCGGCAAGACGTGTCTTGGCTTCAATAGATGAATCAAGCATGCAGTGGTCGAGCCGAGTGCACGCGTCTGCTGTAGTGTTGCTGCATGACGTGGCTGTCTACTATTCACGTTCCGAGTCTCGCGTACGCTTCGTGAACAAGTTCAACAGATCCTGCTTCGACCGCAGGTCACGGCAGTAAACTGGACGATTCAACTAGCAGCTGTCTGTACATTCAGCCTGATTGACCCTCCACTTTGCTGCCGTTGCACGTTCGCGCTCCGAGCTTTGTTGGAAGCGAAACAAAACCTCTGGGTGAACGACGCTGCCTGTCTGCATCTCTGCACAAAGCATTATGCGTGTCTTGCAGCACTTTACATTGTCGCCTTTGTACCCACGTGCCTCTCCATCCCCCCACTCCCATTTCATCAAACGATGTTAACAAATATATATCTATACATATTTACTAAACGGTCATGCCATACACTTATAGGCAAAGGCGTGTGTACTTGTATTTCCTCCGATCAACAACGTATCTGTCCACATGAACTTCCAGCGGACTTGCCGCTCGCGTATCGTTGTATTGATCTGCGGACTGCCATTCATTCATGAGGTCTGGTAAGAGCAAATATCGGGTACCTTTGCCATCTCGTTGATGCTCGTATGGGGTCAAAGCGACTCGTTTCTTGCAAGTAATTTATTCGATGACGCTCTTTCGTGCGGCACGCCATACAATCGATAGCCACACAGATGTAACAAGCTCAGCACGAAGCATCGGAGTAGCGGGTGCATGAAAAACGACGAGCACATTCTCGCTACAATCGAAACTAACACAACGCAATCCACCCGAAACATGCAGCAGCTTCAAATGCGCTCTATTCTCCGGCTTTTCAATCGAAAACGCTGGCTGCGGGCTCGCAACAGGTACGACAAGATCTCTTTTCGCGCAACGCAGCACCGAAGCGCTCGTCCTATCCGATAGCCAGCGGATGACTGGTCCAGAATCGTCGGACCCATCCCTTCCTTCAACTTGCAGCGCATGGGACCCATCGAGGACTAGAAATCAGGACTTTTGTGCACGCGATCAACTTCTGTCTCCAACGCCCCAAACTTTGTCCACAACACCTGCTGTGCCCGTCCGACAAAAGTTCGCCGACCGTTTGTTTATCCCTCGATCGTGACGGTCACAGGAGACGTGTGCCTGCTTCAATATGCAAAAAATAGGGATCCAGTAGACGAAGTCGTGGCACGGGGCGACCCCCTCTCACTCACTCTTGAAACCTCATACAGCCCCACTCTCTCGCTCGTATTCGCTCGTCTCCATTGCATTCCGATACGAAATCCCCACTCGACTCGATAATGGTCTCCTCGACCGCAAACAATAACAAGACAGCGAGCACGAGTGCCGTTGTGTCGGCGCGTCTGCTCGGGTCCACGTGCTCGGGGCTATGTGAACTCCTGATCTTCCATCCCGTTGATACCATTGCCAAGCGCCTGATGACCAATAAGGAGTCGGTACGTCCGATCCGGTGTCGCATGATTACAAGTAGCTCCTCGCCCACGAGTAAACAAACGGATGAAAAGGGACCCATAATGATGACGCTAACACCATGTCCTCTACAACTCTCTCTTGTCGCTCTTGTCGCTCTTGTTGTAGATCTACGGCCTTTCAGGGTTTGCCAAGGTGGTCTTCCGGGACGCCTATGACCAACCTCTGCTCGCCCGCTACCGCTCGCTGTTTCCCGGTCTGGGCTTTGCTGCTGGCTACAAAGTCTCGCAGCGCATCTACAAGTTTGGCGGCCAGCCCGTGGTCAATGATTACATGACGACGAACCACGCAGCGTTCTTTCGCCACACGTTTGGCGACCGCAATGCCAAGACGATGATGCATGCGTCGGCGGGCAGCCTCATTGGCGTGGGCGAGATTGCGCTGTTGCCGCTCGATGTGCTCAAGATTCGAGCGCAGACGAACCCCGCGGCTATTGCTGGCAAAGGAGTCGTGCATATCGTTCAGACTGAAGGCTTTGCTCTCTATCGGGGTGCGGCGTGGACAGCTGCGCGTAACGCGCCTGGATCGTTTGCGCTGTTTGGCGGCTCAGCGGTCGCGAAAGAGTACATTTTTCAGCTCGAAGACTATGGCAATGCCTCGTTTTTCCAGAACTTTGTGTCCTCGATCTCGGGGGCTTCGGCCAGCATTATTGGTACGTCTGTTGCTCTCGATCGTTGGAGGGCTCACTTTGTCCGACTGTGTGGAAGGATTGTGTCCCATGTTGACATTTGTGCACTGTCTTGTGACTGTTTGCTGAACATGCAGTGGCCCAGCCGCTCGATGTGATCAAAACGCGCATCCAGTCGCGTCCATTTGACTCGCCAGAGAGCGGTATGAGCATTATCCGTAACCTGCTCAAGACTGAGGGTCCGGGTGCTCTATTCAAAGGACTGGTTCCCAAGCTGTCCGTCGTCGGCCCCAAGCTCGTCTTCTCCTTCGCGGTGGCTCAGCACCTTATTGCGTACTTCGAGAAGGCCTTTAGCTCTTGATGAACACGCACGCTGCATACATGCTGCAAGCAGTGCACGTTGGTAGCCACTGTGCAATAGACAGAAAACGGGGGATGACTTGTCTACGCTGGAGCACATAGCGTTGGTAGACGACGGAACGGATGAAGAAGATGAAGTACACTCGTGTTTGCCTTTTGTTTGTCATTCACTGCTGTAGCACACAAGAAGAGAGAGCACATCAATTGCCTTGAGCTCAGCTGACCACAGCATTCAGCATCGTGCGGATCGTAACCAGAGTGACACTGCCAGCAGCAGCTACGATTGCGAAAAGTGTGAACGCTAGCTTCCACTTCCACAGCCGCTGAGGTTTTTGAGCAAAGATGCGGTGTGGGAAGTGTAGCTGCAACACGGACAAGAGCGACTCGTTCTTGTCCATACATTGACCATCGGGTCGCTTCATGCTCATGAGTTCCAGCGAGAACAAAGCTCGCAGGCCGTAGTGATCGGACAGGTGCGTGATCGGTAACGGGTGCTGGCGCAAATGGTTGCCCATTGTGCTGTAGCCTTCGTGTGCGCCATCTTTTACGAGCTCGGCCACAGAGCAATGGTCTACCAATGTAGCATCTTTCACCAGAGTCAATTGAAAGCGCGGTAACGCTATCTCTTCACCACTTTCGTGGCCTTTGTGTTTGTTGCCATCACGATCAATGCTGTCGTTGTCGTTGGTCGCAATGGTTTTCCCAATCGCAGCAGCTGCAGCACGAGCCTTTGGCACGAAGAACATGTAGTCGATGCATTTGCCGTCCTTGTCGAGCGACAGAGGGTCCGTTTCGTGCACGAGCAAAGAGTGGCCATCGCCATTCGTGATCGGGTGGACTTCGTCGCCCAGTTTCGTCGTGTCGCAGTGCTTCATGAGGTCAACGACCAACGAGTTTGACGACGAGCTGTCCATAACCTGTTCCCCCGTGTTCCCTGCAGCTTTCAGCCTCGCTTCACGTACAACCCGCTCGACATCGGCGACCAGTTGCTGGTACACACGACTCTCTCGACAGCGCGTGCTGTAGGCTGCACCAGTACGGGGATCGTGCACGAGATCATGTCGTGCATCGAGGTTAAAGTCGCCCGTAATGAGCACGGGCACGTCAGGGTCCTTGTCAATGTGCTTGGCCAGGAACTTGTGCATCTCTTGCAGCTGAGACAGTCGGATCGTGTACTCTCTCAGGCGGTCTCCTGCTTGCGTATGGGTCGTAAACACGTGCAGGGAATCCGAGGGCTCAGGTGATAGCTGGATGCGCGCATAGAGCACACCTTTCGCGCACATTCCGTCACTGCCCGCGCCCTGGGAGTACATCATCTGATCGCGATCGACGATCGGGTAGCGGCTGAGAATGAGCAGTCCGCCGTCAATGAGTCGCGAGCCCAATAGCTGTGGCCACACGGAGCCGCAGTGGTAGTGAAAGCCCAAGTCGAACGCCTTTTGCACAAACTGCGCCTGCCGCGTTCCTGCTTCAAACATCTCCTGCAGAAGCACAACGTCAAACTTTGCCATTTTCTCGAGCAGCAGTGCGACCCGCAGGTCTTTGTGGTCGCCCGTCTTGGCGAGCCATTGGCCGCTGTGAATGCCTTCGGGACGGCAAAAGATCTATTGGATTGTCACGAGGTGACAGGCGGTCAGAGCACAGCATCACAAACGACAGCAGTTAGTTCGGTATGTAGGCACAGATGGGTTCGTGGGTTAGTTTCTCTCTCTCTCTCTCGAGAGAGAGAGAGAGAGAGAGTACATTGAGAAGCAGAGAGAGGGGAAGTCAGAGAGACAGAGACGTACGTTTAGACTGAGTATCGCGAGTCGTTCCTGCACTTTGGCCATAATACGTTTTTGCTGCTGTTTTGGACCTTTTGGCTTTCGTGTGAATTGTTTGCGGACAAAGGGACTATGAGAGTTTGTATCAGTAGGCGAGCGACCTTTTCGTCTGCTGCGTTTTTAAATCACATGGAACCGCCACTCTGAGTTTCTCGCTACTACAGTATATGCTGAAGAGAAGATGCGACGTACAAGTAGTCTCTTTGATCGTCTCGAGAGACGATCGATGAGTGTCAAGGGCGGCTTTCATCCACTCCTTCATATGCAGAGAGGCAGCCCATGCACTTGCGTTCACCCGACCAAAGTCATGCACGAGCCTGTAACATACAGGAAGGAGACTTTAGAGACGTCCTTTCTCAGTAAGTATGCGGTCTCATGTTGCTCGATCGCATTGCAAAGCGTCTGACGTAGTCGGGCAATTTAGTGCCTCGCCACGCGGGAGCGCTCGACTCATTTGCATTGTCCTTCTTTCGTACAATGGTACCAGTAACTCGAGCAGGTCGATCGATGGATGATCAATGATCAGCTACTTCCCCTCACCCCGTCGAAAGTCGACATCCCGAGTCCGTCTTTCGTACAGTGCACGACACTTTACCCTCTACCGACTCCAACGAGCGCACGGGCGTACAGTGTACTACTACAAGAGCAAAGAATCGCCTCGTCAAGCGCTGGTCTCAATCCTACGTGGCGACTGTCAGTTGTCGTCACCTCATGATCCGCTCCAGCGTTTCGAGCCGTCTTTTTCGCCCCACCCGTCGACTTCAACGTTTTCGACAATACGCCATTGGCCAAGTTGCCTTTCAAATAAGAAGACGCCGACAACGATCGGAAGCTCCAGCGCTTCCATCGACACATACAAAAGACGCCACTCGGCACGCAAACGCTCGGAAGTAGTCCGTCACTATGGAATTCACCCACTGGACCGATACGTACGTGCGTCGCTTTCCTTTACCTGTCGACGCTCAAACGACAACGTGGCATTACCACTATAACTGCTACTGATAGGATTACTACTACTGATAGTATCACTACTATCCAAATGTTGGGAATGTCCGCGTCACATGTCGGCCTTCGGCCTCGGCACGTGCTGCTTCACGAGCCTCATGTGTCCTTTCTGATTCACAGTTACGTGTATATGTCATTGTGTGGCTGCAGTGGCCGCAGCAGTGCGTCCGCCAGGAACGACGCGTCGTTCTTTGGGTGGCAGTTGTTCCACGATCGCCAGCGCAATTTGGTGTACTACTTGCACACGTACACGGGCGAAGTGCGCTGGCCACGACCAGAGACTGTGGGCTTTGTCATGCACGGGCTCAAACCTCTGCCTGCAACGGCTTTAGAAGACAATGACGACGCGCGAGCACAAACTATGGAGTGCAGTAGTAGCAGCTTTGTGAATCCAGATATCTGGAGTCCGTACTACCCGCACGTCGTCATGCTGCCTTCTGGGCTGGTTCAAGTGCACCCGAGTCCAGACTCTGCTGCTTCGGAAATGTGGTGCGGGTACAATCGCTTTCCACTGGCAGCAGCTACTGCCAAAGCCAGTCGTGCTTTTCCAGCCCTTGATGAAGAGAAGGGATTTCGTGAGCCAGTGAGGATGACGTGCGAGCCGAGATTGCTGCCACCTACGTGGGAAGAAGCAAGCACTGGCCTGCCATTCTTGCCTCCGTATCCAGTGGCAATTCTCGAGCGTGAAGGTAAAGAGGATCGACCTCACGTTGCAACAGGAAGTTGCCAGCTCGAGAAATGTCATACGCCCGAGCTCGACATTTCTCGCGGTCCACCTCTGCTTTATAAAAGTGAGGAAGACCGACGAGGGACACACTGTACGGAGCGATCAACGAATACCAAACCCAAGACAAGCATCCCCATGCCAAAACAGCTAGGTAAGCGCGAATGTCTGATCTTTTTGAGCTGCTGATAGGCACTTCATCGTTCTCATGTCCGCTGTAGCTTTTCCGAAAGAAGGCCCGGCACCAAGCATCGAGAAGAAGGAGCACAATCGAAAAGGCTATCTGCTTCGTCAGGCGAGAAAAATGGTCCGTGGTAGCGGCGTCAATGGTGGTGCAGCAGGTTCAGCTACATCGAGCAAACCGTGTAAGGACCAAGATTCGGTACCAGCTTCAAGGACGAAACCGAACCTTGCTGCCCGCGGACTAGAAGAAGAAGAAGAAGAAGAAGAAGAAGTCCAAGACGACGGCGGTACCATCAAAGGAGTGAACGTACAACGATCGCTGCACCACTGAGTTCCTGGCTACGTGAGAAGAACTTATTTACTCTACAAGATGCCTGAAATCCACAGTCACAGCCACAGTCGCGGACTGTATCGTCCGATCTGATAATGCATGCAATGAGAAACTTGCAGATGCATTTCGCAAAAGTACTCCCCACAACGACTACTAAGCGCTTTTGACGTTGTGTCGTGTCGTCGGTAGGGCCATTGGTTGATATCGGGATACATGGTCACGTGTGAAATTGGTTTCCGGTTTCTCGATAGGCAGTACAAACCAAAGCGTGCTCGATAACGAGCAACAAATGACAGCGATCATATGCCGTTCAGAGTAGTCGGCGCGTATATACGCGAAAGCCAGATCTTACATATGAGGCAAAAAGTTTCCGCGGCCATTGTATACGATGGCTACTGGTGGTAGGCGTTGCACGAACTTGTGCTAATAGCAATCAGTATGAACAGGACCATCCTTGCCTGGTTGTTGTGATGTACCCTGGTGCTGGGTGCCTTGTAAAAGGTCTTACGTCTATTTTATTGTAGAAAAACACCAAGCTTATAAGCAGAGCTTTCCACTCGGGTACACTCGTCCTAGCACTTGCTAGCAAGCAAAGCCTGTATCTAGACATTTTCTTTTACCATAGTGGAGTGACATCGGTCCTCCGATACCACCGCAGTCGCATATCGAGCTGAAAATGTAATCTACGCGAGCAGGTGTGTAAGATTGCCTCAATTAGGATACAGCTTATCGTAGTTACGAGATACAAGTCATCAGCAGAGCTTTTCGGTGATCTCCCTCACGAGCAACATACATAAAGGCAGGTGAATCGACACGGTAGTTAGCACGAAGCAATTTCCGCTTCGTGCTTCGACATCATATCTTTTTTGCCTCCTTTCAATTCACAAGGAAAGTTCAATTCTTTTGTTGTGAATTTGAAATGGAGGCAATTTTTTGCACACAAGAAGCCTCCCATTTGCATTCTAGCGCAATGACATGACTCCTGTAGCAAAAACTTTCCAAAACCTTTAATCTTGTTCGGTCCTTAGTGATCGATGCTGTGACACTACGCGAGCAATCTATTCGTAACGCTACACAACTCTTACCTCTGTCAGCGTAAATTGGCGGCAAATCGAGTTCCCATGTCGCATGACATTGTAGAGCTGACAACGCACAATGATCGTTTATCTCAATCAAAAATCGAGCATTGGTCGTACATTGACCGAGTTCGAGTTGCAACGCATGCATTGTTTTAGAGGTGGCAGTTGTTCTCGCCCACACGCTTCGAATTGCGTAAAATAATCACCACGTATATTCAGATAAAGCTGAAAATGAACGTACTTTACTCTGTACACACCAGGTATAGTGTACATATCGCATCTAGAACTCTACATGCTTCGCTCATGCCTTTGTTTAGAGTCCTGCTTACCACGGGAAAGCTAGCTACACTCTCGCTTCTTCCCACCATGAACTCCGTCTCGCACGTCAATTATTGTACTTGTGTATGAGCCTATAATCTGTCTCAACTTCAGCTAGTTTTGTATATTGGCAAGACGAACATGCTTTACTTACTGACAACGATTCGTTGTTCTTTCACTACGCATCATTACGCTTGTGTTGACATTTGCTTGAAGTAGATAACATCAGCCACAACTATTATTGAACTATAGGACGTCTATCCATCCATTACATACACAACTCACAGCTGGAAGCGCAAAACGAAGGTCACACAGAATGCAATCCGCGGTACTCAAAAACGATAAGGCAAAAAGTGTCTGGTCTTCCTCTTCGCTCAGCAGCAGAGTAAACCGAAGCTCTTGCTACCTTATCAAAAAGTTACATCTCGCCGATCGCAAGTTGAGGCTGTTTCAATGCTGTTGTTACGCACATGTGAACTTGTAGTCGTCTACATTTTCGATCAGCTTTCTCTTCAACACATGAACAACTACTTTGAATTGCTTCATTGCACAACAAAGTCGACAACACTGAGAAAATTATCACAAAACGCAACGCACGATATATGTCCAGCCGCTATCCCATTGTCATAATGCGTACGTTGCAACTAATACGCCATTCAGTTCTATGGACTTGATCGCACAGACCCCAGAGCTGTAAAAGCTAAAGCTGTCGTCATTTGCAATCTTTGCTCTGCCGCGATGGTCGACTGCGATTTTTGTTGAAATTTGCTGTAAAAATATATGAACTGAACTTCACTACTCCTATTTAATACCAGTCAAAGAAAGCACCTCTCAAGTCCAGACGAAGATCGATCCATATTGTATCATTTCCGAAGCACAAAATCAGTGTATTTTCAGCCATTACAAGTCAGTCGTTGTAAAAACTACTCGAATAACGACACCCAGTTATGCTGCGACGAGCTCTTGTGGCGAAGGGGTACGTACAACCGCATGCACTGCTGACATTCCACTTGTCGAAGAGGAAGTAGCACTAATAGAGCCATAACGCTAACGCATTTCATTGATCTGCTGTCACATGTTGTAGGATGGGCTGCTCAGTGGCGGCGCAGGTACGAGCAAAAGTGACAGTTCCGACCACTGGAGCATCTGCCCGTCGTCGCCCTCTGAGGCGGAAGATGTCCGAGGACAAGTACGTCACAAGCGGGTAGCGATCACAGTATATATGTATATATATTACAGCTCCTAACCGGGGTTTCATATGGTACATTTGCAGGTTCGCAGCGCTGTCGGCAGAGTTCTTGGACCGCGTGCAGACTGCTATGGAGCCGCTTTATCCGCCGATCAATGACGATTTCCAGCTCCAACGTGATGCAAGTGCGTCATACGCTGTTGTGGTCCATCCATTCTTACTCTTGCACTCTGCCTCTTGGCAGTGTGCGTGGGGACTCTATTGCTAATCATTTTGTGAACAAACAATGTGTTGGTTTTGGTTCTGGTGGTGGTATTGCTGATGATGAGCAGAGGACGCGCTTGTGATTCGCACCAGTGCTCAAGAGTTTGTGGTCCAAGTGCAGTCGTCCGAGCAGCAGATCGAGTTTGTGTCTCCGGCAAGAACGAGCGATTTCGGACATTTTCATGGCAATGCAATTGAGCTGACGGCGTCAAGCTTCGATCCTCTCTTTTTCTTCGTCTCCTTTTGCAGGTGTCAGGTTTGCGCACGTATCGCTGGAATGCCGTGACAAAGCGGTGGGAGGACGAGGTGGGGCTGTCTTGAGCACATGAAAACATGGTAACTTCATGCCACATGTTGACAAACGATCTCGACCGCGGTGTCCATTGTGTAGACCGACTCGCACGATATCGAGGGACTGTTGACGCGCGACCTGATGCGTTTCTGCGCGGGAATCCCGCTTTTCTAAGCACCTGTGCGTGTGCATCGGCACGAGGTGCACACGCTACTGGATCACCACCTATACAGCCGCATATGGCCCTACTGCAGAAGTATCAAGCTGTGGTAATGCGGGTGACTACGTAATGCACCAATGGCCACGTCAACCGTTCGCAATTGTATTGTTTGTACTTGACGCTCGCTTTCCGTGTTCGCTGGACCTGAGCCTGTTACTCCAGTGTCTTCAATAAGCGGAACAGCCCGGCTGCCTCGCGAATACGGCTAAACTCAATACAAAAAGCTTGTACCTCAATGATCAAGTCCTAGACAAAAGCATCAGACGCAATCGATGTTTTAGGCACCATGGACAACATAGTAGTACAACAACAAAAACGTCATCGCATGACGCACCTGCACGTTAATGATCTTGTTCCGGATCAGCGACTGCAGGAAAACACACACGAGACGCACGAGCCGGTTCTGCATGTACTTGTCTTTGATGTTCTCGCACGATGATATGCAGTTAGAAATGTACAGGTGTATGAACTCGGTGGGCAAATCCACTGCCGTCGTCAGTCGGTTCACAACCTCCATCGAATGCAGCGACATGTCCATGTTCACTAACGCTGACAGATATTCTGTGATCTGGTTCGACGACATGAGCTTCAGCAGGCAGTCGATGGCCAACATGGGGTTGTTTTCCACTAGATCTGGTAATCGCTGCGGCGTCAGCGAGCAGTGATACACAAGCTTCGGATCTGCTTCGAGCTCTGCAAGCACTTTTTGCTGCAGTGAAGGCACCAGCGGTTTCTGAAAGGCGCGCTGCATGAGCTCGCGCAAAGCTATGCCGTGCGTCGAATTCAGCATCGTCGAATCCCACAACAACGTGGGGTAGTAGTCCGGGTTCAACCATATCAACTCGGTCATGTCTGGCTCGAGAATGGGCGGAGGAAGGCGCATAAACGTCGGCTCGAAGCTCAGCAACGACAGCGAACTAGAAGCTGAGGTACCCGCAGCAGCATTGGGTGGTGCAGCGGCAGTGCTGGCCGCAGACTTATCGTCGCGGAGCAAGCTCATCTCTTCCAAGGATAGCGCTTCAAAGCATGGCAGGTTCAGCGAACTCACTTCGTTCGGGGGAACTTGCAGGTTGGCCCCATTGTTTACGTGCTCCTGCAAATCAAACTCCGTGTCCGTCACCACGTTTCGAATCCCTGCAGCGCGGAACTGCGGCACTACGGGGGTGCGTTCCAAGTAACTCTTTCTCATCGCTCCGACGTCAAACTGCACAGACTGCGACGGGTTCGCTCGGAAATCTGCCATCAACTGCTTTGCTGTCTTCTTGCTCGACTGCACACAATGACACACAACATACATAATGGCAAGCAAAAATCCGCGTCGAGGACAGCGTTACGCTCTCGTCGACTCCATACTACAGCAGAATTTGGTTGCATCGCACGTACGTCACGAGTAGCACCAGCAGCCGACAGCAGGTGCACAACGAACAGCTTCTCGCATACGTCACTGCCTTTTTCCAGTGCAGCCAAGAACACTGGCAAGAACGGATTCGTCGTGGTGCCGTCATTGCGGTACAACTCACTCAAGATCGATAAGCCCACGAACCGCTGCACACATCACATGAACCACATTCACAATCATAAAAAAAGAGAGCGCAGCACACCAAACAAAAAGGCAAACAAACACGTCTCCTCATGAGCCTTCCAATAGAAATAGCGACACCAATAGAAACGTCGACATCAATAGAAACGGGACACGTACTTGAGAGCTCGTGAGCAGATTGTCCTGCAGCAAAATGCAGATCGTACAGCCGACTTTAAAGTGGTCGTTCTTCGTAAACGTACGGAGAAACGTGCCAGTCACTTGATCCAGCGGCTTGTCGTCTTCCTGTATAGAAACGCACACCACATTAGAAATGACCACACGTCGCTCTCCCAAAAGTAGCGGTGGTTAGAAATGGCGTTTCTAATGCGGTCGCCGCGTTCAGCGCACGCATCGAAAAGCGACTGTCGCTCTGCGTGACGACACCGACTGTCGCTCTGCGTGACGACACCGACTGCGTCGATTCGACGATTGAGATGGTACATGGACGTGCGTACATTCAGAATCGCCAGCAGCGGCCGCAGCTCTCGGATCTCGAGCATCGCAGCGGTGGGGGGACGACGATGACACTCGGGCTGTTCGTAATCGCTTTTTAGCAAAAGCAGTTGGATCGCACTTAGGCTGCTGCGAACTTAAGGACAATGGCGTGACACATGGGTACAAACTCCATTGCCAACATGGCTTCATGCGTCGATCTCGTGGCTCGCGTTCGTCCGTCGTGTGCGGCGCTTGTAGCGCACAAGTCGTCGTCTGTGCGCGTCAATACCGATGCAGTGCATACGTTTGCTGCGAAAGTGTCCGATGTGTTTCGAGCGACTCCGCCAGTCGCTGAGTTTATGACGTTCCCGCTGACGTTCCGCTCGCAACAGGACGAACTTAACTTTCTAAGTGCGTAGAAATACATATAGGGCGTTTATGGCTACTGCAGATGGACTGACTGGTTCTCATTGTATTGTTTCGATGCCTCTTGTTGTGTGTGTATGTATCGATTGGTATGTGAAGCGCTGTATGGACTGCTGAGCTTTGGCAGCGGATACCGCAAGGACTTGCACAAGTACGCGGATCGAGGAGCTCATGATACCATTGTGAGTGTAATGTGACGCCATTGGTTATGTTGGAGGCATGCTGTATTGTAGATGCTTTTTGGCACTGATGTTGCTGGTGTTGGTGTGCTATGGCTGCTGATGCTGCTGTGCTTCGTCCTTGTTTTCTGCTGTACAGGTGTTTGGGCTTATCGGCATGTACATCTCCGTGCCCAAGCTAGACGCTGCGTTTTTGCAGAACGTCAGTGTGGACATTGTTGCGTCTTACTTTGGTATTCCACTGGAAAAAGATGAAGAGGTGTCTCGAGGCATTTATATGGCCAAGCCGGTGCGACGCGTTTGCGAAAGAGATGATTGAAGCTGAGTTTTGTGCTAACTATCGGTGGGTATGTTTGATGCGACGGTACAGGGACCGCTGAAGCCACTGGCTGTAATGATTCAGAAAGTGGGTTACACTGGGATTGCTCATTGGTTTGTAAATCAACAAATGGCAGTGCAGGACTAAGCAAAAGTTGCATGGCGCTTCGATGACGACTGTAGGTACTGAATGAAAGTGGACAGAAGCTGGTTGATATGAAGCTGGCAGATTTTGGAGCTTTCGTTCTAGCCCACCTGTCACCAAAACACACAAATGAGTTGAGGGCGAAGAGCCCTGAAGGTTCTGGCGCTAGCGCCGCGTACCTCGTTACTCAGCTTGTGGCTGTATTTCCCGGCTTTGACGATCACAACGAGTTCCATGGCGAGAAAGTGTATTTTCTCAAACGCGCACAATTGGCCGTTGCATGTATATACCGTCGATTTAAGGTGAAGACTGCCGACACAGAGAGCTGCCTGGTCAGCTGTGGTTTTCGTTTGCTGATCGCTATTTGCAACTTTGTAGGACTCGGACCCGATGCTGGCGTTTACCGACATCAACAAGCTCACGGCGTTCAGTGACAATGTAAGATCGCAAAATGCGTCAGTGAGGTCTTGCCGGGCTTTTCCTGATGCGCTCTTTTACGTGCTGCATGACAGGTTCTGCCATGTGTGCTGCACGCCCTGGGAATGCTCGAGGTAAGGAAAGATCAACACTTGCCCCTAATTTCTGTACATCTGCTGAATCAGTGTTGTTCTGCATGACCACAGTACGATACAGAGTTGGAGAGCTTGATCAACCGCGGCGAGGAGCTTCGCGCCGGTCAACGGGAATGCGAACTTCGAGCTGCTGCGATCGTGGCGTGTGACCAGATTGTAATGGCGAGTGACGGCCGTATCGGCACCCTCGAGCTAGATTTCTACTTGTGGCGTATGGGCAAGGAGGACCGCTTTCGTGGTCTCGAGCGCCACGCCACGCGAGACACGTTTTTCTACTAACTTCAGCTGCGGTCGTTGAGCTGATGGGTATCAGCTACAGTGAAGGGTCATTGATCAGTCGCGACGTATCATGTTTTCGTTCTGCTGTAGCGCCACTCTGTCGCTGGTGTTTTGTGTATGCATCTTCGGCTGCCTGTAACACCAGTGTGCATGGTTTGCAGCATTCACTGAAACTCAATCGGATATATGCATGTGGAGGAGCTGTGATACAAAAGTAGTGAAAACAACTAGGAAGTAGCAGGTTCTGAGGCCTGATTTGGTTTGCCGCCTCGTCACGAGGATTATGACCACTATAACAAGAGAAATATCTTGCGATCTCATTTCAGACTGCCGCCTTGTTTGCAGCTGCGCGTCACACAAGCGAGCACAACGCTGTCCGCGACGAGCTGTATGCGTGGAAGGCCTAGGTCGCTCAAATACAAACGTGTGCAGCAATGGCGACGATGGACTGAACATTCCATCTAGACCAAGATTGTCTTTATCCAGTAGCCAATATGTCACCACTTTGCAGTGACGCAAAATGGTACGAAAGACCTCAGCGATTCAAGTGGCCCAAACACACTGGTGATTTACTGTTCGACGATTAATGGCAACTTACGGTCAGGTAGAGATTGAGTCAAAAGCTATCGGACGTTGTTTGCATGCTGTCTACAATTGGCCCCACATCGTTTTGTCCGAACGAGCCGTTCGTACGAATGCGACTGATGAAGGAATATCTGTACCTCGATAGTTAGAAAAGCAGAGGGTGTCCACTGAAGCAATGTTTCACGCTTGATGGTAAAAAGCTTGTGGAAGTGGTTGTCTGCGTGTGTGGATAGATCTATAAGACAATGACACTGTAGATCAATTATTATGTTGCAATCAATGGGGTGCAGCAATCCACGTCGTTGTCTTGTTCCCTCTCAAGGAGGGTACACAAATTGAGTGAAGCCGCATGTTTAGGAGTCAATTCCACGGTAATCTTTAGTAAAAGGCGAAAGATTAATACGTTTTGAAATTAACTCTGCGGAATGGATCCAATCAACGGATACAACATTAACCTATACACCATCAAGACCTACACGTGCATCAAACGCATACACAGTCGTCTCGAATACAAAACTCGAGACCACTCGACGGGACGTGACAGGAAGTATGCCAGCGAACCACACGCATCAATCGCAAAGTAGACACAGCCCATCAATAGACATGCGCACAGTGAGCTACCGGTCATCGCATCACGCGTACGATACATATTAACACTCGATGCGGCGTCGGGCATTCACTGCGCAGTCCGCGAAATACAAAACCCGTCTTCTTCGTAAGAAGACGCAGTACCAGCCGTGGCGCAAGCTGCTTGTGTAATCTCCTCAATCGGCTAGTAGCCTGATACAAACATCTCTTGGTGTCGTGATTGGTCGTAGGGCATTGCTATGTATCTTACGATATTGTGATCGGTTCGCTAGGCAATGTCGCGTCGACTACATCATGGAGGTCGCAAGACAACGATCTGTTGGTACTACGAGCAAGAATGCGGTGTCTTTGATAGTACGTGACAATCTATGCCCGAAACGTCGAGGCACGTCTTTTGGGATTGTCAGAAGGCGCGGGCGTGCTGGGCTAAGTTCATCAGCCATTGGATCGGCGCTTCTGTGTCGAGTGCGGTAGTCCATAGTTGTCTCAGCAACTGTGCGAATCGACAGGCTCCGGCGATCCCGGCGTTTCAGCGGTCTCGGTTGCTCGAGCGGTTTCACGATGATGCCGCAGCGGGGGAAAAGGTGTGGCGACGGATTTGGTTTTTAATGTGTTCCGTTTGCATTACGCATTTATGGAGCGAGCGCAACGATGCCGTGTTCAGAGGCGTGCAGTCTACGACGGCTCAAAGTGTCGTCCATTTCTGGACAACCGGCGTCCGTCAATTAACGGCCTTGGCTATGCGTGAGCATAGAGGGGCGTCGACAGTTCTTCGAGGGGCTCGATTACATGCCTCCCTTGAACTTTTTACTCTTGAGGCTAGCGGAGTTTCGCTACCACTAGAGAGGTGCCTTGATCCACCGCCGCGACCGGCGCTGTATTCTAGGCTTAGAAGATTTCAGACTTCTAGCGCGTAACCATCATGTGCAATAGACAGTCATGAATCTCTCTCTCTATCTCTCTCTCTAGTACGTGACAATCTCATTCTATTCTCGTTGCTGCTGACAGGCGGCAGAGATCGGCTTTATAATCTAGCTCACGACCGGATGACACTTTACACGTCATGACGGTCGCAAATCTTCTTCGCCAAATACGGTAGATTACTTGAGTCACAAATCCGGCCAACCTGATTTGAAACTTTCATACGCACGCTGACACGCGATCGCCGTGACGGCTATGATGCTAGTGAGAGGGTTGCTTCGTATGAGATGATCGCTGAACCGAAAGCAGGAGTCTTTGGATAGGTGAGGCAATACGGCTTGAGTCTAACATTGATATACACGATGTCAACACATGACAGAATTGCTGACCTTTTCGCCCTCCTCTATTCAGTGTCGATGCAACCATAAATACATGGCTCTTGTCGACATAATACACCGATCTCGATAATGAATACCGTGTCATGGTAGAATGCTTTGTCGCGAATGCAGAACGGTTATTTGGAAGTTTCAACCGCAAACCATTTGCTGCATCCGCGCGTACTAGGCGGTCTTTGACACAACGACTGATCGTGTTGAAGCTCAATGTTACGTTACTACAACAATAGCGAAATAAGCTATGTTAATTGTAAAGGGTAGTGAACGTTTTTTGGGTGTTGCGCGAGGCGCTTTCACAACACCATCTTCAAAGACATAGAGGAAAAGGAAAGCTTGGAAAAGTCTCACCAGTCAGTATTTTACAAAACGTTGCAGCAGAAAATGCGAAGTTCTACCGGAATAAATACCGCACCCTGCCGGTGATAGCATGTACGGTGTGAATGACAAGGAACGATCGCTGAACGACATGTATGCGCGCCTATAAAAGTCGAAGGCGTTGCGATGGGGTGCTGTCGAAATTGTCGATCGGCGACATCAGCTTTTCTGCCCAGATTAGATTACGATACAAGTTTGCAACATCTACTACGACTCGTACCTGTCGGCGGCAGAACCGTACGCGCAGGAATAAGTTACCGCTAAGGAGGCTTTCAGGGTACGTTAAAGGAAAAAGAGTTGCCATAGAGGGCGATACCTGTGTATGTGAAGTACGTCCGGGTAATGTAGAGACCGTGTTTGTTTCCAGGACATACAAAAGCATTGATTGAGGGCACTACGTCTCTTAACAAAAGCACTATGCGATATCTAAAGGCACATTCTGACGCCGCCGTCAGCTGCCAGACCGCAGCAACGAGAATAGAATGAGATTGTCACGTACTATCAAAGACACCGCATTTTTGCTCGTAGTACCAACAGATCGTTGTCTTGCGACCTCCATGATGTAGTCGACGCGACATCGCCTAGCGAACCGATCACAATATCTTAAGATACACAGCAATGCTCTACGACCAATCACGACACCAAGAGATGTTTGTATCAGGCTACTAGCCGATTGAGGAGATTACACAAGCAACTTGCGCCACGGCTGGTACTGCGTCTTCTTACGAAGAAGACGGTTTTTGTATTTCGCGGACTGCGCAGTGAATGCCCGACGCCGCATCGAGTGTTAATATGTATCGTACGCGTGATGCGATGACTGGTAGCTCATTGTGCGCATGTCTATTGATGGGCTGTGTCTACTTTGCGATTGATGCGTGTGGTTCGCTGGCATACTTCCTGTCACGTCCCGTCGAGTGGTCTCGAGTTTTGTATTCGAGACGACTGTGTATGCGTTTGATGCACGTGTAGGTCTTGATGGTGTATAGGTTAATGTTGTATCCGTTGATTGGATCCATTCCGCAGAGTTAATTTCAAAACGTATTAATCTTTCGCCTTTTACTAAAGATTACCGTGGAATTGACTCCTAAACATGCGGCTTCACTCAATTTGTGTACCCTCCTTGAGAGGGAACAAGACAACGACGTGGATTGCTGCACCCCATTGATTGCAACATAATAATTGATCTACAGTGTCATTGTCTTATAGATCTATCCACACACGCAGACAACCACTTCCACAAGCTTTTTACCATCAATCGTGAAACATTGATTCAGGAGAAATCTGTTCGTTTGGCGAATAAATCGGCTCACCGCCTGACGTACATTTCACTGCAACATAATTTATCATTTATTGAGCTATATCGAGCATTGGTTTCGAAACTTACGTGAAGCCGCTTGCGTCCATTGAAGTCCTGTCGAAGTTTGTGACCGACACCACGATAGCAGAAGACAATAATTCGCATCCATCGCAAATGCAGATACACTGTTGACGCAACATTCAGCGTCGAGAGATGGTGAGGCATTTATATCTTTTCTTATGGCTATACCAGTATGCTTAATTTCTGTGAAGCCTCTCAGCCAGGAATCAAGCGCCCGGGGAACTTGTTGGCCAAACGTGGCTGGAGGTTGAACAATATCGTAGATTTTTGGGTAAGCGCTTTAGCAACTCGATGCATGCATAAAGCATGGTGCTCTACATGACGACTCTACTCTCCGATGATTCCTCTTCGCAATGGACGATTACGGAGACTCAACAACTTGTTGTAATCTACTGCAAGTATATCGATTCTTCCCGCTAGACTGCTGTATTCCTGGATGTCGAGATGCTCGTTTGACGTATCTTGGCGAGGATATGCTAACCCTTGTCTATTAATTGTCCTTTATCTTGTCATCAATTCAGAAATTTGTCAATAAATTCTGTTGTCTGTAGTGCTCGTATATTCCGTAGACTGGGCTGCTGGTATAGTTGCACAATAACGTGTGCGTCCGCTATCAAGACCGTCTTTGCCAGTCTATTGCTCGACAAGTGTATCTGTGAGAATACCGTCATTTGTGCAATTCCAGAGCAGATGACACATGGTCTTCACGCATTTGCGGCCGGCTGATTTGGCGATGTTGTTACCCTGTCCGCAGCTTA